GAAACTCGATTGCGAAATCCTTGCGACACCGAAGGTTTTTGAAGGATTTCGGCATGCGCGCGCGACGACGCGCGCGTGTGCACTTCGTCCCGTTTTCGGCAAGGGATTCGTGAAAAAGTCTTATGCTAGAGCCAAAAATGTCCCCGCGTATGGTTTTTACAAAGGAACCTCAGGGGAGCGATACCGGCCCCCCTGGGATAGTGTAAGTTCATATTTAGGATGGATATGTGGTCAGAGTCATGTATGATTTACATACCCGAAAGGGGGGGGCAACGCCGGGGAAGGGGGGGGTAGAGTCTTTTCTCTTTTAAGAAAAAAATGACTACCCTGCATCTCGCTTGACCACCTCCACCGCTCGCGCAAACATCCCACCCACCCACCCGCAACATAGTTCGCAAAACCTATGCGACAGCGCTTGCGATGAGTGCTTGGCGTTGGCTGGTGCATCTCTGCGGCCGCGCCAGCCCGCGCATGCGCGCTCGCGCAGCAGCCAGCTAGCTTGGCACGACCGACGCGGCCGCGGTGGCGCTGACCGCTGGGCACATCCCAACGGGCACTTCATTATCACCACCATCATCACCATCATCACCATCATCATTACCATCGTCATCATCGTCCCCATCACCACCATCACCAGCAACATCACCATTACCACCACCATCATCACTATCACCACCTTCACTTTATCAGCATCACCATGGTCATCATCGTCATCACCACCATCATCATCAACATCACTATCGCCATCGCCACCATCATCCCCACCACCACTTCAAACATTATCATCATTACCCGCGCCATCATCACCGTCGCCATCACCACGACCACCATCATCACCACCATCACCATCATATGCATCAGCACCTTTCCAACCAACATCACCATCATCATCATAATTGTCACCACTACCATGATCACCATCTCCATCATCATCATCGTCATCACCATCATCAGCACCGTCAGCGCTGCCGAGATCATCATCATGTTCGTCATCCTCATGATCATCATCATCCCCATCATCAGCATCACAACCATCACCATCACCATCATCATCGTCATCATCACCATCGCAAACATCATCATCACCATAAGCAGCATCATCGTCATCGCCATCATCACCATCAACGCCACCATCACGATCATCATCATCACCAGCATCACTACCACCACCACCACCACGATCATCTTCATCATCATGTACAACATCACCATTATCAGCATCACCATTATCACCATCACCATCATCACCACCACAACCATCAGCATCATCATCCTCACCACTGTCACCATAGGCATCCGAACCATCCTGATCAGCCTTTGCATCACCATCATCACCACCATCCCCATCACCATCACCATCATCATCATCACCACCATCTGCATCATCACCACCACCACCGCCCCCACCATCATCACCACCATCATGATCGTAAGATCACAACTCCCATCACCATCATCACCATCACCACCACCTTCCTCAGCATTGCCACCACCCGCAACCTCACCACCACCACAACAGGCATCAACATCATCACCATCACCATCACCATCACCATCCTTGTCGGCATCATCACCAGCATCATCGCCAACATCGCCAACATCACCACCATCGTTATCACCACCAGCACCACCATCAATTGCATCATCATCCTCAGCATCATGGCAACCATCACCACCACCATCAACATCATCAACATCGCCATCACCATCAGCACCATCATCCGTGTCATCACCGTCACCCCCTATCAGCTCCATCATCATCATCACCAGCAGAAACATCATCATCACCGCCACCGTCATCTTCATCATCATCGTCATAATCGGCACCATCATCATCATCGCCATCACCCTCATCATCACCATCATCGTCATCACCACTGTAGGCATCATAATAATCAACACGATCACCATCATCATCGTCATCACCATCACCACCACCGCCATCGAACTCACCGTCATCACCATCACCATCATCATACACATCATCACCACCACCATCCGCAACACCGTCCTCATCACCATCATCATCATGATCACCATCACCATCACCCCTATTATCATCATCATCGTCATCACCATCGCCACCATCAACATCATGATTACCATCATCACCATCACCATCATCACAATCATCACATGCACCATCACCATGACCAACATCATCATCATGGCCATCATCACATTCTCTGGCAACACCACCATCATCATCACCGTCACCATCAACACCTCAATGTCCATACGCAGAACCAAACAAATCACCACCATCAGCATCATGAGCCCCATCATCATCACCAACATCACCACCATTACCACCACCATGGCCACCAACACCATCATCATCCCCACCATCACCATCAACATCACCATCACCAAGATCACCATGATCAGCACAACCAACACCACCATCATCATGACCACTCCCACCGCCACCACAACCACCATTATTACCATCAACACCACCACCGCCACCATCATCATTCCCATCATCATCCTCACCATCAGCATCACCATCGTCAGAATCGCCACCATCAACCTTACCATCAGCATCATCGTCACCACCATCATCATCATCATCATCATCAACACCACCACCATCACCATCCTCATCGTCATCATCGCAAGTATCGTCATCGCCACCACCATCACCATCATCACCACCGTGACCAGCATCAGCATCATCAGCAACAGACTATCAGCATCACCATGGCCATCATCACCATCATCACCATCACCGTCACCACCACCATCATCATCACCATCATCATCATTGCCATCACCATCACCCTCATAATCACCGTCATCACCACCACCCACATCACCATCATCACCACCACCATTACCGTCACCCTACCATTACCACCATCATCATCACCATTAACATCATCAGCATCGCCATCAGCATAATCACTACCACAGCCAGCATCATAATCATCCTCTACGCCAAAACCATCATCATCACTATCGTCATCATTACCTCAATCATCCTTACCATCATCAGCCTCATCCACATCACCGCCACCATCATCACCGTCATCACCACCTTTTATCACCATCCTCATCTTCATCGACGTCACCATCGTAATCACAATCATTAGCATCATCATTATCATCGACATCATCACCTTCAGTGTCGTCACCATCAACAATAAGATGATCATCGCAATCACCATCATCATCAACATCATCAATACCACCAGTGTCATCATCACCAGAATCCTTGCCATCGTCGTCATCACCATCATCATCACAATCGACACCACCATCACCATCATCACCCTCATCATCGATACCATCATCATCGTCACCGTCACCCACATCTTTATCACCTTCATCATGTACACACCATCATGATCACCATGACCATCATTACCACCATCACCATGACCACCAAAACCAACATCATCATCAACATCATCATAACCGTCATCTTCGTCACCATGCTCATCATCCTCATCACCGTCATCCGGTTATCACCATCATCATCATCATCGTCACCACCATCATCATCGTCACCATCAACATCACCATCACCACCAACACCATAATCATCATCACCACCACCATCATCATCATCCGCATTATCACCACCATCACCATCACCACCATGATCATCATCACCATCATCATCATCGTCATCATCAGCATCACCATCATCACCATCATCATCACCATCGTAATCGATACCATCATCATCGTCCTCATCAACATTATTCATCAACATCACCACCACCGTATCACGATCATCACCATGATCATCGGCATCACCATCATAACCATCCCCATCATCACCATCACCATCATGATCATCATTACCATAATTACCATCACCATCAGCATCCCCATCATCACCACCACCAGTATCATCACCATCATCACCATTATTACCATCAGCAACATGACCATCAGCATCATCACCATCATCATTACCATCATCATCATTATCATCATCACCATCACCTTCACCAGCATCATCATCATCACCATTACAAATATCACCATTGCCGCCATCATCAGCATCACCGTCATGATCACCAACACACCATCAACATCACAATGACCATCATCACCATCATCATCGTTACCACCACCACCATCACCATCACCATCATCACCATTATCATCTTCAGCATCACCATCACCAGCACCATCACCATCAGCATCATATTCATTATCGTCATCGTCATCATCATCAGCATTATCATAATCGTCATCATCATCATCAACATCATCCTCTCTCTCATCCACTCTCCTCCTCATCTTCCACCTCCTCCTCCTCCTCCTCCTCCTCCCGCGGGCGCGCGCGCGCCTCTCCCGCCGCCCGAGTGCAATGATCGGGCTCCGGCATACTCCCCCGCCGCACTCGAAGCAGGGCGGCTTCCCCAGGTGTGACTGGCAGTTTTTGTGGCGACCGCCAGAACAACAACGAACAGACCCAGCTGCAGCCTGGGGCCTCGGCAGGCTTGCACTGGCACGGTCTCCAGCACTTCGCCCGGCTGCACGTGCTGGCCATGCTCTCGCCCGCGCTTGGCAGGCCGGGGTAGGGAGAGGAGAGAGGGGAGGGAGGAGGAAAGGAGGGGAGTGAGGGGAGGGAGGGGAGGGAGGGGGAGGGGAGGGAGGAGGGGAGGGGGGGGGAGGGGAGGGAGGGGAGGAGGAGGAGGGAGGGAGGGGGGGAGAGGGGGGGAGAGGAGAGAGGGGAGGGGCGGAACTGTGGGCAAATATACGTGAACGCGCACGGCTGCGCAGCATGCTCCCAGACAAGGTGCGCATGTGACCAGCTGTCTATGACAGCGGGGGAGTCTGCCGGTCGTCCTAGACTCCGTTTTGTGGAAGCTCAGCGCCGACGCGCAGGAAGGAATAGTGAGCCAAGGACCGGCCCAGTCCTCCTCCTCCTCCTCCTCCTCCTCCTCCTCCTCGTCCACCTCCTTCCCTCCTCCTCCTCCTCGTTTTCCTTGCTCCCTCTCTCCCTCCCCCTCAAGGAAGCATGGGGAGAAGAGCACCGCCTTCTGCTGGCTCACCGTCCACTTCGACCGCTTCTTGGCGGCCGTGCCGTTGCCCTCGGGTGTCTTCCTGGCCCGCCCCTCCTTGAGCCGTGGGGATCGGGTTGGTAATCGGGGGCTGGCAGGGGGGAGCGGGCGGGGGAAGAAGGGAGGGGGCAGGGAGGGAGAAGGGCCAGGGAGGGGAGGGATGGACGAGGGATGGATGAGGCAGCGACGAGGGAGGGGAGAGGGACAGGGCGAGGAGGGACTCATTTATTAATACATAAATAACACACACACACACTAGAACCACGCGCGCAGGGATGGAAGAGGGATGGATGAGGTAGCGACGATGGAGGGGAGAGGGACAGAGCGAGGAGGAACTCATCTACTGATGCATATGTACACACTAGAACCACGCGCGCGCTTCTAGTCGACTCCGACGACGTGTTCCACAAGCATGACAACCACGAGCTGAGCCTATACCCCATCCTTCTGCGCCGCATCCCTCGAGCTCGGTCGATCTGCGACGGTCCCCAGGCCCAGGCGAAAATGCCCGTTGCGAAAAAAATGCAACGCCCATTGGGAGGAGGAGGAGGAGGAGGAGGAGGAGGAGGAGAAGGAGGAGGAGGAGGAGGACGACAAGGACACCCGCATAAGGGGGTGCAACGTCGGAGCACCTACTCAGGAGGATGAGGAGGAGGAGGAGGAGGAGGAAACTGTGGCTAGGGCTGCGAGACGCAGGCAGAGCATGCCCGCCCGCCTGGTCCGCGGCCGAGGCCGTGAGACGACGCACGCACCCAGGCTGCGGACCACCCGCTCGGGCCAGCGGCGATCCCCACCAAGCTGGCAGCGGCCGGCCAGCGTTTTCCTACTCGTTCCCAATGCCCCGACGCTCTCCAGAAGGTCTGTCGAAGCTCTGTCGAAGCTCCTTGGAGGCTTTCCTCTTGAGCCTGTGAGAGCGCCCTGGCAAGCGTCTCCCACTAGCGGTCTCCTAGTCTGTCAGCTCCCCAGTCACACTGTCTGGCCCTCTCGCCAGACGACCCTGTAGGCGTCTTGCTGTCCGGACTTTTGGACCACGGGAGTGTCGAGCAGACTGGCAGAACGACGGGGCCAGGCCCTCCAGCTCCGCACTCCGCGGGGCGCCGCTGGCTGCGGAGCCCACAGGCCCGACCGCACAAGGGGACGGCCATCGTGCTGCCACAGCGAACGCTGAAAGAAGGAGTCAAGCGTTTGTTCTGGCAGCGGCGAGCCTCGGCTGCGCATCGGCCCCACGACGTTCGATCTGTGGAGCGGCCCAAGAACCAGAGCCCATCCCGAGCCCAAAGGGGTCCTTGCTACCCCGTCTTGACTGTGGAAGAATAAAGTTCTGCCAGCAAGCAGTCCGACTGGGTCAACGCTCGGCCCAAAGTCGGGCGCGACCAGGCCAAGCCAAAAGCACCACGGCTGGTGCCTGAGGTGGAAAAACGCACACGAAGGCGCCCTCGCACTCGAGGAAAACACGTCTGCACGAGTGAGGGGCAACGACGGAGGGGATAGGCGTAGGGGGGAAAACATTGACCTGGCCGATAGATCGGCGATAGGCCCCCGATAGCGAATCCGCACCTTTCTGGGCAGGTTGGGGCTATCGAGCTCCTATCGGCGATCAATAAGCGATTGGGGGTCGATGCATCCCCCCTTATGCCCATCCCCCCCTAACGTTGCCCCTGCACGAGCACAGGACTCTTCGGAGGTCCGCTCGTGCTTGTGGGATCGGCAAGCATGGCCAGCGGCATGTGCGCGGCCCAGGGGGGGCCAGGGACGTATTGAAATAAGAAAAGACGCCATAAAATCTGAGGAGATTTCATGGCCCCCGCCATGATATCCTCCCCCCCCCCTAGTCATCACCCCCTGCGGAGGTCTGGACCACCTTCCCCGAACCGATCTTTCCTCCTGAGTCATGTTTCGACGGCACTGGGGCCCGGAGAGGACCCCCAGAGACCGAAAACGGCCAACAACTTGTCGTCGCGTTTTTTTCTGATCTGAGGGGGCCCGGCTTTCGGACCATGCCTCGGGCCTCTTGAACGGGACGATCCGGTTCCCCCCGCAACGCCCTCGGCGAGGCACAGCCGCTGGAAGGCATCCGAGACTGGGAAACCGCCGAGAGCCGACGAAAACGCCCCAAAACCTCAAACCTCGAACGCCCAACTGAGGGAGGAGGAGGAGGAGGAGGAGGAGGAGGAGGAGGAGGAGGAGGCGGAGGAGGCGGAGGAGGCGGAGGCGGAGGAGGCGGAGGCGGAGGAGGCGGAGGAGGCGGAGGAGGAGGAGGAGGAGGAGGACGGGGAAGAGAATGAGGAGGAGGAGGAGGGGGCAGGCCGGAGGAGGAGGAGGAGGAGGAGGAGGGGAGGAGGAAGAGGAGGAGGAGGAGGAGGAGGGGGATGGGGGAGGATGGGGGAGGAGGGGGCAGGCCAGAGGAGGAGGAGCAGGAGGAGCAGGAGGAGGAGGAGGGTGAGGAGGAGGAGGAGCAGGAGGAGCAGGAGGAGCAGGAGGAGCAGGAGGAGGAGCAGGGGGAGGAGGAGGCCCATCCTCGCCTTCCCCCTGCGGGTGGGCGGGCAGGCGCGCGGCGCCGCGCCGATGGCATCGGCAAGCCGGCGCCGGCCGCCGCCCCTCGGCCACGCCCCCTCGGCCACGCCCCCTCGGCCCCTCCAGGGCACCGACTGCGGCGAGGGCCACGCCTGCGGCGGGAGCGTTGGCAGCGCTCTCTCCCTCGCTGCCCCATGTCCAGGGGGGGGGTCGGACTCCCCCCCCCTCTAATTACCCGCGGCTGGCAATCGTCGACTGCGAGCACCGGCGCCGGAGGACGAGGAGGACGAGGAGGACGAACGACGGACGACGATGACGACGGACGACGATGTCGACGATGGACGACGGGCGACGGACGACGACGATGACCTCTCTCTCTCTCACTCTCTCAAGTTCTCTTTCTCTCTCTCTCTCTCTCCCTCTCTCTCTCTCTCTCTCCTCCCGCCACATTTCCTTCACCGTTGATATGGTCAAGGCCCACGCCAACCAGGAGGATCTAGAGGCAAGCACCGTCTGCCCCAAATACTATGTGGCAACCGTGGGGCTAATCCTGTGGCCCGTCAGCTCAAAGTTAGAATCTTCCAGAGAGCGTTCTCCTACATTGCCGTAACCATGCTGACAATGAAGCTAGAGAAGCCTGCGGCAATTCAGAATGGAAGTCTGGACCCAAGGGCCCAACCTCAAGGAATCCAAGGTCCCAAGGAGGCCACGACTCGAAGACTTCGAGAGGTCTACATGGCGCCCCCAAGCAGGATATCGAGAGGCATGTAGATCGGAGGTTGGGGGTGAGATCGCAGTGGAACGGAGACCCCCAACTGGGAAATCGTTTCGTTTCGTTTGTGTCGTGCGTGCGGGCAAGGCGAGGCTGCGTGGACGCGCGAGAGGAATGACCCCGCCGTTGCTAGGGTGAAATCAAGACAAATGATTCTCCCCCTCCCGCCTGTCCGTCGGTGGCTCGCGGTGTCCCGCGGTGTCCCGTGGTGTCCCGTGGTGTCCGCCGTTGCTAGGGCGAAGTCAAGACAAATGATTCTCCCCCTCCCTCCCGCCCGTCTGGCGGTAGCTCGCGGTGTCCCGCGATGTCCCGTGGTGTCCAGTGGTGTCCCGTGGTGTCCGCCGTTGCTAGGGCGAAGTCAAGACAAATGATTATCCTCCTCCCGCCCGTCCGTCAATGGCTCGCGGTGTCCCGCGGTGCCCCGTTGTGTCCCGTGGTGTCCGCCGTTGCTAGGGCGAAGTCAAGACAAATGATTCTCCCCCGCCCGCCCGTCCGGCCAGCGGTGGCTCGCGGTGTCCCGCGGTGTCCCGTGGTGTCCCGTAGTGTTCGCCGTTGCTAGGGCGAAGTCAAGACAAATGATTCTCCCCCTCCCGCCCGTCCGGCAAAGGCTCGCGGTGTCCCGCGGTGTCCTGTGGTGTCCCGTGGTTTCCCGCGGTGTCCGCCGTTGCTAGGGCGAAGTCAAGACAAATGATTATCCCCCTCCCGCCCGTCCGTCCGTCCGTCCGTCGGTGGCTCGCGGTGTCCCGCGGTGTCCAGTGGTGTCCCGTGGTGTCCGCCGCTGCTAGGGCGAAGTCAAGACAAATGATTATCCTCCTCCCGCCCGTCCGGCAATGGCTCGCGGTGTCCTGCGGTGTCCCGTGGTGTCCGGTGGTGTCCCGTGGTGTCCGCCGTTGCTAGGGCGAAGTCAAGACAAATGATTCTCCCCCTCCCTCCCGCCCGTCCGGCGGTGGCTCGCGGTGGCTCGCGGTGTCCCGCGGTGTCCCATGGTGTCCCGTGGTGTTCGCCGTTGCTAGGGCGAAGTCAAGACAAACCCTCCCGCCCGTCCGGCAATGGCTCGCGGTGTCCCGCGATGTCCAGTGGTGTCCCGTGGTGTCCACCGTTGCTAGGGCGAAGTCGAGACAAATGACTCTCCCCCGCCCGCCCGTCCGTCCGTCCGTCCGGCGGTGACTCGCGGTGTCCCGCGGTGTCCCATGGTGTCCCGTGGTGTCCCGTTGAGTGAGATCGATAGCGAGACCGATAGTGAGATCGATAGTGAGATCGATAGGAGATCAATACTGAGATCGATGTGGTGCCCCGAGGTGTCCCGTGGTGTCCCAAAAAGTGAGATCGATAATGAGATCGATAGTGCGATCGACAAGTATCCCGTGGTGTCCGGTGGTGTCCCGTTGACTGAGATCGATAGTGAGATCGATAGTGAGGTGTCCCGTGGTGTCCCGTTCAATAAGATCGATAATGAGATCGATAGTGAGATCGATACTGAGATCGATGTGGTGTCCCGAGGTGTCCCGTCGTGTCCTATGGTGTCCCGTTGGGTGAGATCGATAGTGAGATCGATAGTGAGACCGATAGTGAGATCGAGAGGTGTCCCGCGGTGTCCCGTGGTGTCCCGTGGTGTCCCGTTGAGTGAGATCGATAGTGAGATCGATAGTGAGATCAACAAGCGTCCCGTGGTGTCCGTTGGTGTCCCTTGGTGTCCCGTGGTGTCCCGTTGAGTGAGATTGATAGTGAGATCGATTGACTTAGATGTTGGTTCCTCCCCCCTCTCCCCCCCCCACAACCTGCTTATCACCCGAAGGGTGGTCGTATAGGTATGATGTAGCGTGCCAGATGTATGCCAGTGTAGGGGTCTTTGGTAAGTAAGGCTTGGTCAATCAAGGAACTCATAGGCCCCATAAGCAAAACATGCGGATAGTGGTGTCGCAATTTGTTTGAATTGGGTGGTGGAAGTGCCTAGCGGACTACGTGTCGTGACGATTTCGGAGTTGGTTTCTAATACGGCGCGGATCGTTCAACCTTAAATGAGCCGCGGCTTTCCGATCGCCAGATCGATTCGCCAGGGTCGCCGCCGCGTCGACACGACCCGAACATGCCGTAGAAAGCTCCGGGTGTGAGTCCAAGCCCTGCACAGCCACAAGACTCAGGGTCGCTCGAAGATGCCTCTCGGGCCAAGCCCCGCACCCTCCCGTGCAAACACGCACGCAGGCTGTCGGAGCTCCGCGCGGAATTTCGCGGAACGGCCCTGGGGGAGCCCGGCCCACCGCCGATCCGAGAAACCCGCGCGGGCCTCCGGAAGTCTACGTTGATGCAGGTTTCTGTTTTCCGGTGGTAGCAAGAGGGAGTAAGGATGAGGAGGGGGAGGAGGAGGAGGAGGAGGAGGAGGAGGAGGAGGAGGAGGAGGAGGAGGAGGAGGAGGAGGAGGAGGAGGATGAGGAGGAGGAGGAGGGAGGAGGAGGAGGAGGAGGAGGGAGGAGGAGGGGGAGGGGGGGAGAAGGGGGAGGAGGACGTGGATGATGATGATGATGATGATGATGATGATGATGATGATGATGATGATGATGATGAGGAGGAGGAGGAGGAGGAGGAGGAGGAGGAGGAGGAGGAGGAGGAGGAAGAGGAAGAGGGGGAGGGGGAGGGGGAGGAGGAGGACGGCGGCCACGACGATGCCATCACTGTCCCCCTGACTTGGAGGTGGCCGCGGGGTCTGAACTGGACGACGGACAGGCAGAAACCGTGCGCCCACAAACGCGTCGGCAGGCGCCACACTCGAAATTTATTGTAAGGACGGGCGGTAAGGACGCAAGGGCCTTGGACGCCGAAGTTTGCACTTTTTGGGCTGCGGGCTGCCAACACCCTGAAAGGCTGGCCAAGGAAAACATCGAAACACGGGCCGCAAAAGCAAGGACGCACGAGTACCCTGAGACATCCGCGCGACCCTATAATGTGTTTTGACTGTACAGGAATAGTGAATTCAGACATGCTTGGAAGAGGAGGACCCACGAAAGGACGGAGAGACGCACGACGAGCGGGGGCGCGAGGCGAGGTGGGGCGAGCGAGAGAGGGACGAACGACGACGGGGGCCGACCGAAGAATAACGCGAGGGCGGGGACGAATGTACGCGCGCTCCTGCCAGCCCATTTGGGCGCGCATGCCGCGTTCACGTGAACTCTCCAGATAGTTATGCTCGTATTGTATGACAAGCTCCCATCGGCGGCCTTCCCTGGCCACTCGAACAACGCGCGGGCGTAGCCCGTTCTGGTCTCGGCCGCCCACACTTGTGAACGTAACTGGCAGTATGTCGAATGCTGCCGCGTACCCGGGGGTGAAGACTGAATCCGTGTTTTGCCTACCTAGCGTCATGTTAAGCAAGCGTGTCTTGGTATTAACAGGAGGTTATGCTTGCTTATCTTCTTCTAGTAGCTCACGAGAAGCTAACCTCCCACTACGAACTGGTGAGCGCATGGCTGGGTACGTCCGTTAAGCGGAATTACCCTAGGCAAAGATGTAGTGTGTCTGCGTACGCGCGCGTGTGGCCAGCCCGCCCGGCCGGCCGGAGCGCGCTTTTGCTTGAGTAACTATACGCAGCTGCGGAGAGAGTCCCTCCGCAGGATCCATGCCCTACCAACACTCTGCAAGGGAAAAGAATGGAGGGCTGCAGAAATAGGCTAAGGGAGTGTTAGTAATGACTGAATCCCTCAGTGGGTCTCCCATATGTCAAAAGGGTACCTTGCCGAACATCAGCAATTCATGGAGCAGAAGACGTGTCGAAAGCGGTGCTTGGCCCGTTCGTTGGCGGATTGGGTTGTTTGATGCATGCGAAACCATTGGGCGTTTGATATCACGCACGCCATTCTGAGCATCCTGCAATGCGGTCCGTCGAGTCGACGCCTCTCCGCCACGTTGAGGCACACCGTGCTCAGGCTGTAGAAAAGCTGGGACACCACTGTCGCCCTGGAGAGCTCCAAGTTGCGTGTTTCGCCAATGCTTGCACGGCCCCGCACATTCCCGATATTAGGAAATCGTGAGACAGCAGCCACGAGTCGTCGAGAGGATGGGGGGGCGAGGCCAAGTCCGCTCAAAGTCGCTCCCCAGACCCTCGCGGGGTCCATCTGGAGCAGTTTGTCACCCCACGTCCGTTTCTGGTGGCCTAAGAACAGTCTCCGGAGACCGAAAGAGGCAAGACACCGACTCGAACCCGAAACCTCGAACCTCTTTCCCCCGCTCTTGCTGGCCAGAACCAGTGCTAGGTCACCTCATGCCCTCAGCCGGCTCCAAACCATGACCACCGTCCCTCCCGTCCGCGTCCACCTCCCCGTGCCCATGCCGATATTGTTGTTCGCCCTCCTCGGGCGTCGAATGTCGAGCGTCGATGTTCCACGAACGTCGAATAGCTCCTCCCTCCTCCCTCCTCGTTCCTCCCTCCCACCCCCTCTCCTCATGCTCCCTCCTCGTCCTCCTCCCTCCCTCCCTCCCTCCCTCCCGCTCTCCCTCCCTCTCCTCCTCCTCCTTCTCCTCTTCCTCCTCCTCCTCCTCCTCCTCCTCCTCCTCCTCATCCCCTCCTCCTCCTCCTCCTCCTCTCCTCCTCCTCCTCCTCCTCCTCCTCCTCCTTCTCCTTCCCTCCCTCTCCGTGCTCCTCGCCCCCCCCCCCCCCCCCCGGCAGGGGCGCGCCCGCGGCAGCTCCGAGGGCGCGGGCGCCGGCACGGGCGCGGCGGCCGACGCGGACTGCTGGGCTGGCGGCGCAGCCGCCTCCCGCTGAGCGAGGCGAGGGGGGCAGCGAGGCGATGGGAGCACTCCTCCCTCGAGGGCCTCCCTCGAGGGCGTGGGGGCCTCCCTCGAGGAGGAGGAGGAGGAGGAGGAGGAGGAGGACGAGGAGGAGGGGGAGGAGGGGGAGGAGGGGCAGCGAGGCGGGGATTTATCCCAAGCTCGGCGACGCGCCCAAGGGGGGGGGGAGAAAGTGGAGGGCCTAGACCTCCAACGCGTTTGAACTTACCGTGAGACGTGCCTAACCCTGCCTAAACATGTGGCCACTATGACCAAGACCGCCAAATTCGAGCGAACATGCTGAAGGACCCGCAGTGCGCGGGAGCCGCGAGATCTCGGCTGGGTCCGCGTACTCCTCCACTCCGCTGGGCCTCCCAGGAGCCTACGAAAGTGGCCACAGTTGCGCAGTTCGCAGCCCCCTAGGGGGCCGCGAGGTCCCGGCTGGGTCTGCGTACTCCTCCACTCTGCTGGGCTTCCCAGGAGCCCACGACAATTGCGACACCGCTGCGCACTTCGCAGCCCTCCAGGGGGAGGAGGTGGTGGACGCGGGGGGGGGGGAGGAGGAGGCAGCCGAGGAGGGGGGAGGGGGGGAGGAGAAGGAGGTGGAGACCACAGTGTTCTATTCAAAACGAGACCCCGACGTTAAGGGAAGGCTGGGGGAAAAACAAAACGCTTTTTTCCGTCGCTTTCGGAGTCTGGGAATCCTCGCTGGCCCCAGGACCGTCGAAAAACGGTCCGGCGGAAAAGCTGGTCCCCTGGAAATGGTTCGGGCATCGAAAGTCTGGGGGCGGGTCTCCTCAGAAGGCTCAGGCTACCACTTGCCTTTTCTGAAGACACACAGGGCTTCTCGAAGGCTGGAGGGCTTCTGAGAAACCCCGCCGCCTTTTGAGAAGGCCTGACCCCCCTCGGTTCCCCCTTAGCGCGCCGCCGAATAACCACCCTCTTTCCTCAATTTCGGCCCTCGGGGGCCGTTATCGGCCCCCTGGGGTCATCACAGGCGGATCTGGGGCGGAAAACTACCTCCGGGGAAGCGGTCGGGACGTCTGGAGCTGTGGACGTAGAACATCAGATCGGCGGACGTCAGGGCCCTTCACCATCCCCTAGTGGATGGATTTTCGGGGACCTCGGTAGGCGGTGGATACGTACATGTTCTGGCCCTGATCCATGGCCCCAAGGACCCCCTAACGCCTCTACAGGTCCCCCGGGCTTGCCAGGGCTTCCCTCCTCCTCCTCCTCCTCCTCCTCCTCCTCCTCCTCCTCCTCCTCCTCCTCTTCCTCTTCCTCATATTATTAAATTATTGTATCTTCTCTCCTCTTCTCTCCTCTCCTCTCCTCTCCTCTCCTCTCCTCTCCTCTCCTCTTTTCTCCTCTCTTCTCCTCTCTTGTCTCGTGCCTCTTTTCTCCTCTCTTGTCTCTTGTCTCGTGCCTCTTGTCTCTTCTCTTGTCCTCCTCCTCCGCCACCGCCACCGCTCCGCTTTGGGACTGACCCCGGCCGCTCGCGGCCGCCCCCCGCGGCCCAGCCCCTCCTCCGGAACTGTGCCAGGCGGGTCCACCGTGTGGGCCGGGCGGACCTGGCGGCAGGGTCGCGGGGGAAGGGGGGGGGCGCCAGAAGAGCGCGCGGTCCAGCAAGGGCTCTGGGTTTCTTTCCTCCCCTGCCCAGGCTTTAGATCCGCCGTACTTTGGTTGATTTTCAGACTTCGGAAAATTCGAACGATCCGAACAAGCAGGGTGGAAATTCCCGCTTCAGAAAAGTAGGGCGGAAATGTCCGCCCTACTTGCAAAATCGCCCAAAGCACGGCGGATCCGAAGTCAGGGTGTCGCATCGTCGTTCGTTCCCCCCTCTGTACTCGTCGTCGTCGTCGTCGTCGTCGTCGTCGTCGTCGTCGTCGTCGTCGTCGTCGTCGTCGTCGTCGTCGTCTTGTCCGGATTTTGTGGGCCGGCGGGGGGCTATTCCTGATCCGACGCCTGGCGTCCCCTCGCCGGCGCCAAAAGGGGGCAGGGAGGGAGGGACTGAGGGTGCCTGGCGGAGAAGCGGCGAGCAGGGGAAGGGGCAAGGGACGGAATTTCGAGGTTCTCGGACGTTTTTGTCGGTTTTCGGCTGCTTTCTGGCCTCGGGGTACCCTCCAGCAGCTGCGCCTCGTCGAGAGAGTTCAGTGGGTGCCTGGATCCTCCCGAACGGCCGCCAGAGAGCCGAGATATGACCAGAAAACCGAACGAGCGTCGCATTGTTTTGTTTTGCAATTGGCTAGTCTGCCTGGTTCTAGGCCCCGCGGCCAGTACAGATCGATCCGCTGCAAGGCATGCCGCAGAACGATAGTGTCTACGCCTCCCGTCGTGACCTTTCGTGATGTTACAACTGTTCCGCGGTTCTGCAACTTTTTCGCAACGGCCAAGGGAGGAGGAGGAGGAGGAGGAGGAGGAGGAGGAGGAGGAGGAGGAGGAGGAGGAGGAGGAGGAGGAGGAGGAGGAGGAGGAGGAGGAGGGAGGAGGAGGGGAGGAGGGAGGAGGGAGGAGGAGGAGGAGGAGGGAGGAGGGAGGAGAGGAGGAGGGGAGGAGGAGGGAGGAGGAGGAGGAGGAGGGAGAGGAGGAGAGGAGGAGGGAGGAGGGAGGAGAGATCCCGTCAGGCTGTCGCGCGGGCCTGCGGGCCAGCGCGACGGAGAGGGAGGGGGGGCGGGCCAGGAAGGGTGCGGAAGGGGGAGGGACATGGAGGGGGGAGGGGGGGGGAGGAGGGGAGGCGGGAGAGAGAGGGGGCGGGGAGAATGGCTTCCCGGCTTCCCTTCCTCTCCTCGCCCTCTCCTTCCTCCCGCGCGCCACTTTCCGCCTTTTACCACCATCTTCGTTCCCACGTCCACCCCTTTTTTGCTTGTTCCCCTTTCTCTATGTCTGTCTGTCTGTCTGTCTGTCTGTCTGTCTGTCTGTCTGTCTGTCTGTCTGTCTGTCTGTCTGTCTTTCTGTCTGTCTGTCTGGCTCTCTCTCTCTCTCTCTTAGCTCTCTCTCCCTCTCTTCCTACATCGAGTATGTGCGACATGGTATGGAACGAAACCATGCCGAATACGAAGCTTGTGAAACGACTCCAGACAGCCAATCAAGCACCGTCTCGCCACTCCATCCAGCCAGAGTGCTCAACATCTAGAAGAGTATGGGCGCCAAAGCGTCCACTCAATCCCACTGCTATCGTCCTCCTCCTCCGCCTTCTGTCCTCTCCTCTCTGCTCATCCCCTCTTCTCCTGTTCACCCAAATTTGCGGAAACCGTTGATGTCGAAACTGAAGCATTCGTTTCTGAAGGCGTGATTGAGGGGCTCGAGCAAGGGTGTGGGTGGGGTCCACAACAATTATTGAATATAACCCCTACTCATGTTGCTGCATCCCCCCCTTCGCGCCCCTCACCAGACAAGGGTGGGGAGTGGGATGGGGGGGGGAGCTGGGTGGGGATGGGCGGGGAGGACGGGGAGGGGCAGAGACGGGAGGAAGGAGCAGGGATGATGGACGAGAGGTGGATGGGGGAAACGAGGAACGAACAACAGGGAACAGGGCCCCACATACGGGTAATCAGCTATATTTGGTCTCGACGTGCGCGGAAGACGAGCCAAGAGTGTCAGAGACACCGCGCCAACTGACATGCCATATGTGCCAATCTTGTTGGTCTGGAGGGAGGGAAGGTGAAGGAAACAAAAAGAAAAATACCCAAAACCCCCGTTGTCATGTTGATTATTCCAACACTGTCAACCCCCACAGGTCTCGATCCAGTCCCCCGAAATGGCTTTTCATCCTGAGCCGCTGTGACATTGAAAATCCTGGGGCCCCAGAGGCCGAACATAACAACAAAAACTCCAATCGTGCTTTTCTTACGACTTGAGGGGGTCTGGGAAGGGAAGGGAAGGACACGGGAGGACACCTCCAGGCCGACCGCGGCCAGAATAAGTACCCAAGAACTGGCAAACATCGTGCCGCACCCGGCCCGCTGGCCAGCAGGGGTGCGCCCAAATTGAAAATCACTGTGCCACCAAATGGTAAAGCACAGCATCCATGACAAGGATTCTTACAGCCAGCACATGAAATACCATAGACGAGCTGCACACACACACACAAGTTCATCAATTGGGGTAGCTCCTACAAGAGGCCTCTTATTGTTGGGTCGGCTGTATCACGACGCTGCAGGAAGGGTGACCAAGCCGCTGCGATTCGACAAGAGAGGAACGGAGCGCACCCGCTGGTGTCTGGTTGGTAGAGGAAGAAGGAGGGATACAATGCGACCGTACTTCTGTAAGGAAGGCTGAACAACGAATGAAGGGAATTGTCCCATTTAGGCTTGCGAGGACGTCTCTGGCGAAACTGGCCGGACCAGCCCCGATGTTGGCAGATGTTTCTGAGCGCTGGCCCCTTGGCAAGAACTTGCTTCTACCGCAACGGGACCCCAGTCAGCACAGCTGTTTGGGGAAGCGCGGGAAAGGAGGGCGCGCGAACGGGAGCGGAAGGGGGGCACGAGAGACGAGGAACGGATAGGGGGAAAGAGAGGCGACCTTTCCAGCTGGGCTTCCCTGGTTGTGCCACGCTTTAAAGATGTATGATAATAAAACGCGCACGTGTTGGCAAGACAACGCGGCCTAGACAACCACTTGGACAACCCCGCAAGGATCCAGACAACTCCCCCCCGGATTTTCCCATTGAGTATAAAACTAATGTTACGTTGCCCGTTGCTCGGAGATTCTCCGGGTGGCTTGGGTTCCCCGCCCACGGTGCCTTCTATTGTTAGTTTGCCCGTTGCCCAGAGGTTCCTCGGGTTCCCCAGGTTCCTCGGGTTCCCCGCCCCTGGTGCCTCGTATTTTTATTGTGCCCGTCCCTCGGAGGTTCCTCGGGTTCCCTGGGTTCCCCGCCCCCGGTGCCTCGTATTCTTACGTTGCCCGCTCCTCGGAGGTTCCGCGGGGTCCCTGGGTTCCTCGGGTTCCCCGCCCTGGTTGTTGGTCGTGCTTTCCAGCAATGCCAGGCAACGCCAAGCAACGTCAAGCAGATCAAACCAGTGCAAAACAACGCTAGCAACACCAATCAATGCAACGCAACGCTAAGTGATGTCTCGCAACGCCAAGCAACGCCAAGCATCGCCAAGCAATGCCAAGCTATGCAAAGCAATGCCAAGCAACGCCAAGCAACGCCAAGCAATGCCAAGAAATGGCAAGCAACGCCAAGCAATGCCAAGCAACGCCAAGCAACGCCATACAATGCAAATCCATGCCATGCCAGGCAATTCCAAGCAACGCCGCTCAGGAGGCGTTCCCCTAATTGGGGTCGCGTCGGGTTCGTGTCTGCTCGCGGCGATCCTCGGACACGAGCAGGTTCCCCGACGTAGATCTGAGGCGCGGCCCGCAAACGGGAGCCCCTCCTGAGCTCAGAGTGGTGCTTCTGTTAGCATCTTGACTGTAAGGTGGGGATGAGGCGAACGTTCGCCGTCAGCGCCCGAGTGGAACTGGCCTCCCAAGTCAAGGCAAGGCCAAGCTTTTCGATTCTCTCCCCCCGGCCCCTCGGCTCCCCCATCCCTCCTTCACTGCGAGGGGATGTTGCCCCGTCAGATTACCAGATCTGGTCGACGCGGGCGTCAATCTCCGTGACTGGGACGAGCTTCTGGCTCGACGAAGAAATCATCAGAGGAGTTGCCGGCAGGGTGCGCTCCGAGAGGTAGCAGGAGGGCAGCGCGAGAGGACGACCCCGGCGGGGCGACCTTGTACTCGGGGCATGCGGCCGGCACCATGCCGATCCGCTTTGAGGCGAGGTCAAATATCACTTCCTTGTAGAGCATCCTCCCAGAGGAGGAGGAGGAGGAGGAGGGGGAAAAGAAGGGGGAGAGAAGAAGGGAGGGAAAAGAAGGGAAGAACTAGATGAGGGAAGGAGAAAAACAAAGGAGGGGGAGGAGGAGGAAGGAGGAGGGATAATGATGATGATGCTGATGCTGATGCTGATGCTGATGATGATGATGATGATGATGATGATGATGATGATGCCAGGACGGAGCCGCGGCCAGGACAAACTTTTTAGAGAAGCTGACGGTGGCGATGGCAGGATACGACGGCATCGACTCCCAGAGTGCTCGGGTCACTCGCGGCAGCACAGACGCAGACATACATCGATTCAAAACCCCTCAAGCGAGGGCGGGTGGGATTGGGAGCTTGAGCGCAACGGTTGTGGTCGTGCGGCCGCTCATCCCCTTCCCCAGCACACACCACAATAAAGTTGCTACTATGCCAGGTCGGGACGCCGCGGCCAGGACAAACTTTTTAGAGAAGCTGACAGTGGCGATGGCAGGATACGACGGCATCGACTCCAGAGTGCACGGGTCACTGGCGGCAGCACAGACGTACATTGTGTAACACTAACATCATGGCCGAAGGCCGCCAAGCACATATCTACGGGCCTGAGACAGTTCCTCGATAGCTGCCACGATCGAGTCTGCCACTAACTCCGAAGCTCGAACGGGAAAGCGGGCAGCCTTGTGTCTGCACGCGATGCCTTTAGCCGTGCGGCCATCAAAACGCAAATGCGGCCGCCCCGACTGCGAGCACACAAACGCAGTACTAGGACACACGCGCGCGAGACGACGCATGCTCGGGCAGTGCCAGCAAGCCACGCGCGTGGACGAGCGAATGGCAGCACCGAGCTGGCAGAGGTCCACCTGAACGTCATCGAAAGAAGGGTGATTCATTAACCGAGCTAACTGTGGCACATTCCAGATGACACTACTACGCGGGTGCTCGAAACAGACGGGGACACGGTGCTTAATGCACGCACGGATAAGCTGTATAGCGGCACACAACTCTACATTGACACAGAGGAGAGACGGCAAAGCGCTGACCTCGGCAGCACGGCCACGCCAGCCCCACGGATCAGCCTCCGAGCGACTAGGCCGAGGACGAACCTGACACCAGGTCCCCCTAGGCAGAGACAGCCAAGGAGCGCAGACTGCCGACGATCGAATCCACCCGCAGACTGCCGAAGATCGAATCCACCGCGGGGGCCACCACGGCTGTGCCGACAGGGTCATCCAGCGCCAGCGCCTGGGGCACCCAGGCAGCGCCGCCCCAGCGCCTCCAGCCAGAGCGAAAGGCGAAGGCGGCAGTGCGGCGCCCAGCAGCAGCGCGCCGTCGCGCAAGTGGCCCCACAGCTCCGCCGCCGACTGCGCACATCGGAAGCGGTATACGTTGGCCTCCGCCACGCCGTACAAAGGAGCACCGAACCCGCGCAGCGGCCTCACCTCCTCGCAGTCGGCGTTGACCACCACCGTCTCCAAGTACACGTCCCCGTCGACTGTCACGATCACCGCCTGCGAAGGGGGAGCGTCGAACAGCGTGATCCTCTCGTGGAACACCAGCGGCCCGCCGACGCGATAACGAATCGCGTGCACATCACCTGCTCGTGGCATGCTGGATCGCTGCTCGAGCTTACCGCGCTGCAATGACCTGGATATCTTCGGCCGAAGCGGCAGATGGCGAGCTCTCGACTGCAGGCGCTGTGCCGCGGCGGCCTCTGAACAGGCCCCCGACCAGCCACTTGCAGCTCAGGAGAGCGGGCAGCACGAACGAGCCGATCAGCACTCCCAGCAAGAAGGTGACCACGTGACTGCACCAGGTCACAGGCGCAGGGAGGGCAGGCGGGCGGCGCGGCCGAGGTCGCCGACCACACCACCAAGACCCGCGATGCCCCGCGCGCAAACTCCGCGAGGAAGCGCGTGGCGGCACCCGGCATGCCCCTCAACAGCTCGAGTACAACGGTTGTGGTCGTGCGGCCGCTCATCCCCTTCCCCAGCACACACCACACTAAAGTTGCTACTATGATGCGGAGGAGGCGGAGGAGGAGGAGGAGGAGGAGGAGGAGGGGGAGGAGGAGGAGGAGGAGGAGGAGGAGGAGGAGGAGGAGGAGGATGTTTGTTTCTAATATATATATATATATATATATATGTATATATGATTTTAATTTTAGGTTGGGAGGAGGAGGAACATGAGGAGGGGGAGAGGAAGAGATGGGGAGAGGATGGGGGAGGAGGAACTCCCACCAATCTCTTCCCATTGCTTCGACTCCTTCCCTGACTGCAGGGCCGGGTTGGGCATCGAATCGGTGATCCCGCGGTGATACCGATGCAGGGCGAGAGAGGAAGCGGGAGAGGGAGGGGGAAGGGAGGAGTGGGAGACGGAGGGAGGAAGCCAGGAGGGGCATAGGGAAGGAAGATCGGAGGGGGGAGCAGGAAAAGGAACAAGAAAGGAAGGCTGATGATGAGGAATAACGAGGAGAAGGAGCCAAAACAATATACACTGCCCTGCGCTACCCTGGGTTAGTATTGTCCTATCGTCCGCACAACCACGTTGCCATGCAACGCATGGTGTAATGGTGATGCTACGAGCTGCATCTCAACACATTACAACGGACCACGGCGAATCACGTGAAAGGCAGCGAAAATCATATCACGAAAGGGCAATGTGAAGCAACGCAGTGTGAGCACACAGAGCAGCGCAAATGCAGCGCAAGCAACGCAGTGTGAGCACACAGAGCAGCGCAAATGCAGCGCAAAGCACGGCGACACAATGCAAGGCACCCATCATATTCCGGGAAGGCCAGGGACGCAACCAAGAGACTGATGGCTGTGGGTGGCTAATCACACTCGGCATCCTTCACATCATAATGTCATAATGGATGGAGAGGAGGGAGGAGGGAGGAGGGAGAAGCGAGAGGACAGGTGGCATCAGCGGTGGGAGAAGAGCCACCCAGGGGGAGGGCGGAGGGAGAGGGACCTGGGAAGCAAAGCAAGGAACTATCGGACCCGACGTCTCCCCCGGGCTACGAGACGAAGGACCGGGGATCGGAAGAATGGGCACGAGGGAGGCGGGAATCGAGCAGCGCAGGGGGCAGGGAGACAAGGGAAGACCGAAGGAGACAGCCACGGATCAGGGCCGGAGGCAGAGCCACGGTCGAGAACTTCTGCACAGCGTGTCGCGGCGGCGGCTCCGGCGACACGTCGCGGTCACGCCGTTCTGGCGGGTGGCGTGCCGCTCCGCTCCGCGGGGCGGGAGGCTCGGGAAAGCTCGGGTCGTTGACGCTGGGGAGCCTGGGAAGTGGGGTAGCGTGGCGCGCCGAAGCGTGGTGGGCCAGCACTGGGGGAGCGACACGCTGAGCTAAAGTGCTCCTGACCGTGGGAGGTCCTCCCCGGAGCCTCTCGTGGAGCTGCCTGGCCGACCTCTTCCGTGACGAGCCCCATCTCGGAGAGAGGCGGTGAGAGGCGGTGGGTCTGCACGGCCCCGGCAGGCTCTGCTGGGGCGGCGATCTGGAGCGGCTCCTTCCCATCGCATGGGCTGCTAGCGTTTCGAACAGACTGGGCCAGGAAGACAAACGACCCCACCCCACCTACGGCGCCACGGGGCTCAGCGTATGCCGGGAAATCTGGCGTGAGCTGTTGCGTGGTTTACGCCACTGCCCCCGATGGGCCGTAGCGCAGCATGGAGAGCCGCATGTGGGGTGGTGCCGCTTGTTTTTTGGTCGACAACCTTTCTTCGATTTCCCGCGACGAGCCCCTCGACCTCGAGGCTCTCCTCCAGTCGCCTGCCCACAGCTTTGAGCGAGGCGAGGTGGTCGTCACCGAAGGGGTCGGTTTTCTCTAGGGTCGAGGCCTCCCCAATGGGGTCCGAGTGGATAGGGTCGGAGGATCGCGCCCCATCGCCAATGCATCGGCGATGCATCGGCGACGTCGGCGATGCGTGGGCGACGTCGGCGTGGAATAAACATCGGGCTCCGCACCATGCCGCATCGCCGACTCGTTGGCGATGCGGCACGATCCTCGGGCCCCATCTTCTCGGACCCCATCTGGGAGGCCTGGGGCCCAGATAGGGGTCGGTTGGGCTGCTCCTGAGCCTCTCGTGAAGGTGCCTCGGACCAACACACGTCGGGAGGCGCAGAGGTACAGGTGGGCTGCTGCCACATCGTGGCCAGCCGAGAACCCTCAAAGGACTCCTGGGCAGCCCTCCGAGGGCCGTGCCCTAAGCCGTTAGGGCTCTCCTGGACTCTCGCAGGGCACTTCTTGTCTGCTGCCAGGAACGCGCACTGAATGGATGTCTAATTTTCTGGGTTGGCCCCACGCGCGCCCGCGACTGGCGCTACCAGCACTGGCGCGACCGGCGCGACCGGCGCGACCGGCGCCGGCGACAGGCACCACCAGCGCGACCAGCGCGCCCGGCATCTGCGCACGGAATACCTCTCTGAGGCGAATCGACATATTCAGAGACGTGCACTTCAGAGCCCGATTGCTGGCAACAGCAGCCTGGGGCATACCAAGGATTGTAAACGTTATGAACACACTTCCATGTGAACACTGCGAGCCGGAAGGGGGGGCCCGCGCCCTAGCATCATTGCGTCCGTCAGGCATCGCACTAAAATGCTTGACAGCGTGGGCCCAAAACAGTGTTCTAGCGGAATGTGTGGTGCAACCATTGTAGTGCAAGCAATGTGATGCAATATGTACACAATTATGAGCTGTGCAAATGTTTGTATATGCATGTATACATGTGTATGTATGTAGGTATGTAGGTATGTAGGTACGTATGTATGTATGTATGTTTGTATGCATGTATGCATGTATGTATGTATGCATGTATGTATGTATGTATGTATGTGTATGTATGTATGTATGTATGTGCGTGTGTGTACGTATGTGTGTACATGTATGTATACGCACATCTACACACATGCAATAATACATGCATGCATACACACACCAATGTATACATACATACGTACGAACATACATACATACATACATACATACATGCGTACACACATGTACATACATCCATGCATGCATGTATGTATATACACATGCGTACACATTCATGCATACATTCGCACACATACATATACATGTGCATACACACATACGTGCATTCATACATACATGCGCACACATATACACATACATACATACATCCACACATACATACATACGTACACACATACACACCAGCATGCACACATGCAGACACACATCCACACATGCATGCATACGTACATGCATACATACATACGCAAACATCTATACACATTTATGCATATATATATATGTGTATATACATATACCTAAAACCACAACTATATGCATGCATGCTCGCATGTATGCATGTATGCATACATACCTACACCCATCCAGCCATCCATCCATACATGCATACATACATATACATGTATAAATGTACGGTAGACTCCCATGAGGAGACAGAAGGCGAGGAACGGTAACGAGGTTCAGCTCGGAGGATTGACACCGCCAGCTTCCCACCTGATGAGACGGGGCCTCCACCACGCAAGAACTGGCCCGAAAGAAGGGGAAGAGGGCGACGAAGGAATAACAAAAAGGACAAACGAGGGAGGAAGAGATACTATGGAACTTCGACCGCATGTCCAGAGACCAAACCCAGGGCGGTGCCGACATGCCGACGACGTGACCGACGCGCGCGGGCTGGCCCCAGAAAGAGCTGCGACGCTCAGAGATTGTTCTCAACTTTAACAGATGCTGGTTGACTGGAACCACGGCTAGAAGCGTCGACGGCCCGTGCTGGACCGCAGACTGCCCCAAAAGACAATCCTACTCGCCTCCGATCGACACAACGCCGTCCCCCGCCACCCATTTCCGCAGGGACGCATCGACACCCTACCCGGGAAGGTGCGGCATAGCAGGAGGCACTATAACAGCCAAAAGGAGAAGAAGGAGGAGGAGGAGGAGGGAAAGGATGAGGAGGAGGAGGAGAAACAAACTGGCGGGACCTCACGCCCAGAGCGGCCAGTAGCTTGTCGAGGTGAGCCGCAGCTGCCCATTGTGTCCGGTCTCCCCTGGAGGAGCAAGAGGACAGCCTCGGAGGGGGCCCGTGCCTCTTGAGCCGAAAAGGTTACCAGATGAGGAGGGAGGAGCCCTCCTAGTCACCCTCGTCGTGCTTGAACTCCTCCTCCTCCTCCTCCTTCTCCTCCTCCTCCTCCTGCTCCTCCTCCTCCTCCACCTCTCCCCTCCTCTCTCCCATCGGCCTCCTCCTCCTCCTCCTCCTCTTCCTCCTCCTCCTCCTCCCGCTCGTCGGCGTCCTCCTCCTCCTCCTCCTCCTCCTCCTCCTTCCTCCTCCCTCCTCCTCCTCCTTCTCCTCCTCTTCCCCCTCCTCCTCCTCCTCCTTCTCCTCCTCTTCCTCCTCCTCCTCCTCTTCCTCCTCTTCCTCCTCCTCCTCCTCCATTCCTTTCCTTATAACTAACTCCTCCATGTCGCACCCCTTTTCCAATCGAAAGGGCGTGGTGGCCAGGCGTTTCGCCAGAGACCTTCTCGCCATACGTGACCCTGAAGCTTAAACATTGGCAACAGTTTCACAAAGGGAGGGCGGGTCGCTTCCAAAATGTGGCTCTCGCCTTTGCGCCGCGCACGTTCGTTGTAAGCATTTGCAAGAGGTTCACGGATTGAGGGCGGGTGGTCTTCGACATCTGGATATCGCCTTTGCGCCGCGCACATGTGTTTTTTTGTCCAGACGAAATGCCAAAGTTTCACGGATTGAGGGCGGCTCGTGTTCAAAATGTAGCTCTCGCCTTAGTGCCGCGCACATTCGTTTAAACAAATTTCCAGAGCTTCACGGATTGAGGGCGAATCGTTTTCAAGATGTGGCTCTCGCCTCAGCGCCGTGTGCATTCGTTTAAACAAATTGCCAGAGCTTCACGTATTGAGGGGAAACTCGTTTTCAAAATGTGGCTCTCGCCTTAGCGCCGCGCACATTCGCTTAAACAAACTGCTAGGGCTTCACGGATTGAGGGCGATTCGTTTTCAAAATTTGGCTCTCGCCTCAGCGCCGCTCACATTCGTTTACAAAATGCAAGAGTTTCACGGATTCCCGTGGTCAGCGTACCAAAAACGGTGTTTTGGAAGGAAGCAGGATTGCGAGGGCGCAACTGTCGCGTTGATTCGCAGCATTGTCCCAAGAATGGTGTTCTGGCACGATTCAGGATCGTCAAGACGCTACAGTCCGGTCGATCCGTGGCGTTGGAGTCCCGGGAATGGTGTTTGGGCATGCTTCAGGGTCTTCAAACGGTTGTCTCCCAACGAGGCAATTCCCTTGGTGGACTTCAACCGTTGTAGGGGCCTATGATAGGCCTACAAAAAGGGAACTTGAAGGAAAGGTGATTCCAACATCGTTGGTAAGTCTTGGGTTTGCACTGGTCCTCCTCCTCCCCCTCCTCATCACCATCATCATCATCATCATCATCATCATCGTCATCATCATCATCGTCATCGTCATCGTCATCGTCATCGTCATCGTCATCATCATCATCATCATCGTCATCATCATCATCATCAGCATCATCATCAGCATCAGCATCATCATCATCATCATCCTGCCCCTGGGGCGCGCCGAGGAGGGAGAGAACGAGGAGGCGCAGGGGAAGGATGAGAAGGAAGAGGGTGGAGTCGACGATCGCCCGCCGAGGGTCCAAGTTGCTCCCAAGGTGGTCATCGTCCTCGAGCCGTCGTCCTTGAACGCGTAGCAGTAAGTGTTCGCGCCGGTCCTCGGGCATCCACCTCCTCCTCCTCCTCCTCCTCCTCCTCCTCCAGCCGCAACGACAAGTGGCCCATAAAGTCAAAGCATCAACACGCGGCGCAGCGCCAGGGGCGCCGCAGGGAGCGCAACTGCCGTCGGAAGGGGAGGGTATCCCTTTGCCCTCCGCGCGTCTTGTACAAGTACTCGACTGGATGCCACATCACCTTCACGCCAGTGAACTGAAACTCCTGCAAACGCGCGGCGGCTGGGAGGAGGGAGGCCGGGCGGCGCCCACGCCACTTCCTCCCTCCTCGTCCTCCTCCTTGTCATCCTTGCCCTCTTTCTCCTCTACGTCCTCGTCCTCGTCCTCCTTCCCCTCCTTCTCCTCCTCCTCCTCCTCCTCCTCCTCCTCCTCCTCCTCCTCCTCCTCCCCCTCCTCCTTCCCCTCCTCCCCCTCCTCCTCACACTGGTCCCGGTGATGCTGCTGCTGCCAAGCCTCCCCCGTACACACGCCTGGACGCACCTTCTCGCGGCGCCTGAGAAGGGCCTCCTCCTTCCCAGAACTGCGACGTCGTGATTTCTGTCATAAGCGTGGACCTCGGGAGGCGTCGACCCCTTCCCCAGGACCAGTTTTTCATCATGGGCCATTGTTTGACGGCCCCAGGACTCGGCGAGGGCCCCCAGGGACGGAACATTGGGAAAAGCTCCAATCGTGACTTGTTCACGACGCTCGTCCTCCTCCTCCTCCTCCTCCTCCCTCTCATCGTCATCATCATCCTGCTGCTCCTCCTCCTCCCCTCCTCCTCCTCCTTCTCCTCCTCCTTCTCCTCCTCCTCCTCCTCCTCCTCCTCCTCTTCCTCCTCCTTCTCCTCATCACCACCACCACCTCCACCACACCACCACCACCCACCACCATCATCATCATCATCATCATCATCAATCATCATCATCATCAATCATCATCATCATCATCATCATCATCATCATCATCATCATCATCATCATCATCATCATCATCATCATCATCATCATCATCATCATCATCATCATCATCATCAATCATCATCAATCATCATAATCATCAGCATCAGCATCATCATCATCGTCATCATCGTCATCGTATCGTCATCGTCATCATCATCACCATCACCATCACCATCACCATCACCATCATCATCATCATCATCAGCATCAGCATCAGCATCATCATCTCAGCCTCATCATCAGCATCATCATCAGCATCAGCATCAGCATCCGCATCAGCATCAGCATCAACATCATCATCAGCATCAGCATCAGCATCAGCATCAACATCATCATCATCATCATCAGCATCAGCATCATCATCAGCAGCATCATCATCATGCATCAGCATCATCATCATCAGCATCAGCATCAGCATCAGCATCAGCATCAGCATCATCATCATCATCATCATCATCATCATCATCATCATCATCATCATCATCATCATCATCATCATCATCATCGCCATCATCGCCATCATCATCATACTCATCATCATCATCAACATCATCATCATCATCATCATCCCCTCCTCATTCTCCTTCTTCTCCTCCTCCTCCTTCTCATCCTCTTCTTCCTCGCCTCTGTCTGGGTGGTGGCTGGGGCCAGAGCGGCCAGCTTCGTGGGGCGGTATTCAAACGTGTCACCACTTGCCCCCAGGGAAAATGCCAACCCTCTGGTTAGGCACCGCTTCGTGTGTATGAGTGTGTTATTTCCCGCGTTCGTGACGGACCTCGGTTCACTCGGATCCAAACCAACCACCCTCCTCCTCCTCCTCCTCCTCCTCCTCCTCCTCCTCCTCCTCCTCCTCTTCCTCATCCTCCCCTGGGAGGGGGAGATTGAGCATGTTCGTGGTCTCTGCATTGCATGATCGCGTCGGCCTTTTCCGCGTGCCTTCGCCTGTGCGTTTCTTTTGCGCGTGACTGCCCCCATCCAGTCCACCCCTCTGCTTCGCGGGGTGGTAATTCGCCTAAGCGTTGCTCTGCTTAGCGCATCGCGACTGTGTCGTCACCTCGCCGCTGGAGGAAAACAGATGTGTCTGTGCATGTGGTGGGGAGGAGGGGTGCTCCCCTGCCTCCTCCCTCCCTCCCCCCTCCCTGTTCGAGTGTGCCACTCGGCGTGACATGCCTTCGGGCGCCCAGTGGGTCATGATGACCTCGACGGCTTGGTGCATCATCCCCGCCCCTCCCGCCCCCGCCCCCCCCATCCCGCGTCCCCATCCATCCCCCTCCCCCCTCCCCGCCCCTGCTCCCCTCCCCGCCCCCGCTCCCGCCCACAGTTGGATCATCTCGAAGGTGGCGGCGGCCCATCACCCCCTCACTGGGAGGCTCAACGACTATTCAAAGACCAGACATGCTAGCGTTGTTAAAAAAAACGAGTGGAGATGTTTGGCCGTTTTCAGCCTCCCAGGGCCCTCGCCAGGCCCCATAATAGTGAAAAATCGTCTCGGAACGAAAAACAGGCCCTGGGGAATGGGTCGGGAATTCCGGGGACAGCGTTTTGAAAAAACAAAACATCGCCGGTGGAGGTTGGCACCAACACCAGTATCGGCGGTTGTCTCCACCGAAGGAAGATGATTCCTATCTCCGTGATTCTGGCAATACTTGGGCTTCTCAGGCGGCTGAAAAACTACCGCTAATCTTCCCCCGTTGGAGACACTCCCCAGGCCGCCAACTCATCTTCTTCTCCTGCCCTGGAAGCCCTGACAGACTGGGGGACTCCAACGCTTCACTGATTCAATACCGTTCTCGCACGCATGCATCACAGCCAACCCCACCACTTCTTCCACTTTTCGTTCCTGTCCCCGCCCCCGTCCGATTCCTTGGGTCGACGCTAGACCGCCAAGTCGGCGCGCCCGGCACCGCCCCTGGCGCGCTTCGCGCGTCAGGCCAGGGGGTTCAGGGCCGATCCGAGAAAAACGCGCGGACCTCTGAAAGATTTTGCTGGTGGGGGAGGAGAAGGAGGAGGAGAAGGAGGAGGAGAAAGCGGTGGAGGAGGAGAAAGCGGTGGAGGAGGAGGAGGAGGAGGAGGATGAGGAGGAGGAGGAGGAGGATGCAACTTGCTCGTCTTCGGCTTTCAGGGCCCCGTAAATACACGGGGACTTGAATCAACCAGGACGCTGGCGCGCCCGAGCAGCCGTGGGTCGAGACATGCTCCCACTCTCCGTGGTCTCCAAGGGAAATTTCAAAGGCCTGGTCAGCAATGTCGTGGCTTGTGGGAGCTTTGAGGCTCCCGCCCCCTCGAGCCGACCTCCGACACTTCATGACGGCGGCGCGCCCAGGGGGGAAGTGAGAGCGGGCAGGCCTTCTCAGAACGCGGCGGGGCTTCTCCGATGCCCCCGGGCCTCCCGAGAAGGCCTCGGTGGCCTCGGAGAAGCCTTAGGAAACTGCTCAGAGGGCCGGTGGCCTTCTGCGCCTCCTGGGTAGGCCCGCCCCCTTCGCTTCCACAATGGGCGGTTGTCTTTTCTCCTTCGGCTTCCGCTCTCTCCAGCCGCCAGCCGCCTACCGCAGATGTCGCGGGCGCGGTCCATCGACGGGAAGTACGAGAGGCCCTCGCGCACGGTCCAGCACTCGGTGCGGCTCTTGGTGGCCTTGCAACCGTCGTTGCCTCGGCAAGGGAGCTGCTCCGCTGCTGCGGCTGCTCCCGCGGCTGCTCCTGCTGCTGCTCCTGCTGCTGCTCCTACTCCTCCTCCTGCTCCTGCTGCTCCTCCTCCTCCTCCTCCTCCTCCTCCTCCTCCTCCTCCGGCGTGTCGCTCTCTACCATGTTGAGCACAATGCCCGCACAACGGATGACACGCCCGTGCCGCCAGTTACGGCCTGATGTCCCTGGCTGCCCCAAGCACTGGATGTATGCAAAGAGACGCCGCATGCTTTCCCGCACTCCCTTTCACTGAATAGTCTGGGCTCTGTTTTCGGACGGCTCCCTGCTCTACGGCTCGCTCGCTCCTCGGCCTCTTGGCGTGCCAGACACAACCGAAAAGATACAGGGCGGCTCCTCTTTGAAAGCCGGGCTCTCTCCCTGACGGCAGGCCCATGGTGCGCTCGTCTCTCGAGGGGGCTCGTCCCGCAGCCGCAGGGCAGCGCATGCAAGAACCTATGCGGAGGAGACTTGGGACGGGAGGGTGTACTGCAACATCGGTGATGCATTCTAGGTGTGTTCTGGTCCTCCTCCTCCTCCTCCTCCTCCTCCTCCTCCTCCTCCTCCTCCTCCTCCTCCTCCTCCTCCTGCCTGCCGGAGAAACTCGAGGCCACTCCACTCCACCGCAGCCCCGCGCAGCGCACCCGAGCGCGGTACGCTGAGCCGCTGTGGTACCGCTCGCACGCTGGCGAGGGCAGGTTTCCGGAGAGGAAAGAAGGCAGGCTGAGGGCATTTTTTTATTTTTTGTATCCTATCACCCTGGGGTTTGTCATGCACCAACAAATTCGGAAGCCGTCTTACGGCCCAGCAAACTGAGCTTGCACAGGCCCACGGCCGACCAGGCCCAGACCCCGAAGCGCGACCGTCACTCCGCGCTCAGACCAACCACTGGCCTGGGGTCCGCCGACCTGGCCGCCCTGACGGCCCTGCCTCGCTCCTGTGCGTCAGCAGCGCTGGCAAAGCCGAAGGAGCTCAGGGCTCCCTCGAGCCCTGGGCGGAACAACCTCCCAGGGGCAGACGGGGCGGGTGCCCGAACCCGCACCTCTGGGGGCACCACGGCGGGGTCTCTGGAGCCTGCAGGGGCCACGGGGTCCCCCATGCCCTCAGGGCCAGCGACCGAGCCTAGCGCCTCGGCCCATCTGGCACGGGTGGCCGCTGTGGGCCGAGCCAACTGGTCGATCGGCTGCTTGGATTTCCCAGGCAGGATCGACTTCGCGAAATCGTTTCGCGCCTGCGCCCTTGAGCCCTTTTTGGCCCTGGGGTCGTCAGCGCGCTGGGCCCCGCTACAGGCCTTGGCCAGGCCCCTGTGGCAGTACTGGGGTTTAAAGCAATACATCCAGCATGCCACACACACACCAAAAACTCAGGGCCGTCCCCGCCCGAAACGCGCGATTCACGAAGACGGTGGCCGTTGACCTCCCAGACTCCTGACTCGACAGGGTCGTCCTGTGACTGGCCATCACGCGAAATACTCGAAAGAGAGACCCTCGACCTTTGGCCAGAGTCTGGGGTCTCTAAAAGGGGCCTTGGGGTCCTCCTCTGGCCAGCAGGGCCCGAGCGAGCACGCGGAGGCGGGGCGGCGGCCGCAGAAGCAGGGGAGGCCGCAGGGGAAGGAGGGGGAGGGGGCTGCGACACGGCCGACATGGGCGGGCACGGTGCGCCCGCGGCCGAGGGCGCCGCCCGCTCCGCCTTCTCTGCGCGGCGGCGCTGGACCGCGCGAAGCAGGGCCGCCGACGCGCTCGACGCGTCAGCGACTGGATCACTGGGCCCTACTGGCCCCTCGTCGGCCTCCTTCCTCTTGCGGACCTTCGAGACGGCCTGGTCCTGGGACTGGGCTCCCTGGCTGGCCGCCGCTGCCGTCGCCAGCGCTGCTGCCGCCCCCAGGGCCGCCAATCCACCTTGGCCTCGGGCAGTCGACTCCTCGGCCTCCAGCGACAGCCCCAAGTCGGGCGGCGGAGCGAAGGGGTCCAGGTCCACGAGGTCCAGGGAGGTGAGCGGCCAGGAGTCCCTGAGTCCCGACTCTGTGATGTGCACCTCGAGGGCCGCCGCGCACCTGGCCACCTCCTTCGCCCGAGCCAGGCAGCCCTCCAACATCAGGGCGTCATGCTCGGCGATGGCGTGGAATGCCGCTCCTTCATTGGCCCTGGTGTCGGCGCGCCTGTTGCCCACGAGCTCGAAGAGGGTGAGATCCCCGTCCTGCACCGCGGCCTCCGTGCGGTGGGCGGGCACGTGGCGCATGGTGACGCCCTCCGCCGCATCGCCCACCCTGGCCCACACGTGGGCGTGCAGGGAGCTGGGGCCGCAGGCCTTGGACAGGTTAGACGCCGCCTTCACCGTGCTCAGACAGTCGCTGAGCAGCGTGTAGTTCCCGATGATGTCGGCGAGGCCGATGGCGGCAGCGTAGTCCTCGCCCGCCTTGGCCGTCTGCGACGGGAGGTCGCTGGGGGGCACTGCGCCCCACGCTTCGGCGATGAGCCCCCCCTCGGGACCGCGCACTATGACCGCCCAGCCAGCGCTCCTGACGTGCAGGAAGTCCCCGTTCAGGCACGAGCCGTCTGTGAAGACGAAGGACCCATCGGGTACCACCAAGATGCCGCCCCCCCACCCGCAGGAACGCCGCGCCCAGCTGTCATCCCAGGCCGGCCTGGCCACCAGGAGGCTGATGTCGGCGAAGAGCCCCTGACTGAAGAGCTCGTCGAAGGGGGCCCCCATGCGGTGGGCCTGCTCCGCTGCCTGACTCACCTGGCATGGGCAGTAGTCCCGCCTCCATGCCGCCCAGGCTGGGCACACATGGTGTCTGTGGTGCATCGTCCCAGGGGCGGCTCCGCAGAGCTTGCAGAGCGGGCCAATCTCACGCCCATGCCTCGCCAGTCGGGCCTGGGGCCAGCTGGCCAGCGAAGCCAATCGTCTCAGGCAGCCTTTGTGGTGAGCCGTCCAGGTTTCCGACTCTTTGGCTCCGAGGAGCTGGTTGATCGGCGTCCACCACGGCGGCAGCCGCCACTGCCAGAAGGTCTCGGGCCTGCTGGCGTACTCCTCGAGCGATGCCGCCTGACGCGTGTCCTCCTTGACCCTGGCGGCGAGGAAGGCGGGCGAGAACCTCTTGACATCGAACTCGCTGCCCCCCCTGTCGGTCAGGATGCGCCCGCCAGCTCTGAGGCCCCAGCCGACCCGCCCTAGCGTGAGCACCAGCGCCGAGACGGGGTCGCGCACCGCGGCCCACGGCCTCTGCAGCGAGGCCAGACGGCTGCTGGCCCTGAGGCAGGCCTGCACTGCCGCAGGAGAGGCCTGGCCTGACCAGCTCATGGCCACGAAAGCCTGGACAGCCATGCCCGTCGCAATCACCAGCGGATCCTGCCTCCAGCCCTGGGGCGCGCACTGCAGGCAGAAGGTCAGCGCGGCTCCCGTCGGCAGGTTGCAGGCGGCTTTCGCCGCAGATATCCTGAGTGCCCTCATGCGCCCAGGCGGGATCCCGCTGATGGCCGAGCCCCACAGGGCCTTGGCAGTGGGGCCTGCCCTCTGGATCTTGGCCTGCCTCATCCCCGAGCCGAAGATCCTGGTGAGGTTGTTGCCCTGCCGCAGCGCCGCCAGCTCCCTGGCCACCTGCGTCCCGACCCTACGGTGGCTACCCGCCGTCGCGTCGCCTCCGAGGTCACGGTGGCCCGCGACGAAGGCTTCGTCTGCGAGGACCCAACCGGCGTGCTGCTGCAGCTCTCTCCTCAAATCCACCGAAGAGGCCAGTGCCTTGGTCTTTCCCCAGTTGATGGGGAGCCGCTTGTCTCCCAGCATGGTGGCAACGCCCTTCGCGAACCTGGCGATCTGCTCGACGACGAGCCTGCGCGTGCCGATGCCGTGGCCCGAGATGTCGTCTATCACGTTGACCACCCTGCCAATCGGCAGCAGCTTCCTCGACTGCAGTAGGAGGTCGTATAGCATGATCCTCGCCATGGTCGTCGCACAGGAGCAGCCAGCAATGACGGTGTCGTCTATGACCAGCTGCTCGCTGAGGGCTAGGTCAGCCCTGGCTGGCCCTGCGAGGGCCCGAGTACAGCACGCAAGCGCCTGGATCAACCCCGTGTTGAACTCACAACCCCGTGCCGCTTCGAGTAGTAGCCCGTGGCTGATTTGCTCGTAGAACTTGCTGATGTCGAAGTAGACCGATGCAGCTTCGAAGTTCCTCTCGCGCGCTAGGCCGAGCAGAAGGTTGTGGATGTAGGCCGCCCTGTCACAGCAGGTGTCCGAGTCTGCCCCCCAGTATTCGGGGAGCTTGTGGTCCCTCACCCAGCCCGCGCAGTACTTGCGCCTGATACGGCTCCAGATGCGCATCCACATGCATAGGAGACCGATCGGGCGTCGGCGCCCGTCGGGCTTCCCCAGGAAGACTATGATCGTGGTGAAAAGCACCGACGGCTGAGGGTGCCGTTCCCAGGCTGTCAAGATCTCGGCCAGCCTGTCGGCGTACACCCTGCCTAAGCTGAGGATGAGCCTGGGGTGGAAGGCGTACCATTGGATAAGGAATCCAAGGTCTGGAAGCTGGGTGGAACACCATTGAGGCTGAGCCATGGATATCACCGCCACCCTCACCAAATAAGGAACCATGCAAGGTCTGAAGCTTCCTGCGCGCACTCCTTGCTCAACTCCCCAACTGTACCGCAGCCTCGCTCATGCATCCTTAGGCTTGTTCTGGTCCTCCTCCTCCATCCCTTTACGTAATAAATAGCTCCTCCCTGCCGCACCCCAAACATGTCGGTATGGCGGGCCAGGCGTCTCGCCTGAGACTTCCTTGCCATTTCCGAATTTGAAGCTTGAACGTTGCAATAGCTTCAAGGATGGAGGGCAGGCCGTTTTAAACATGTGCCTCTCGCTCTTGCGCCGCTCACATTCGTCTGAATAATTCACAAGAGCTTCTCGGATGGAGGGCGGGTCGTGTTCAAAACGTGGCTCTCCCCGCATCACCGCGCACATTCTTCTGAACAGTTCGCAAGAGTTTCACGGATGAAGGGCGGGTTTTCACACTGGGCGCTTCCGCCAAAATGCGGACCCTGGGAGCATCAAATATCAATCCGGCTTGAAAACTGCAGCAGGAAGATGGGGTCTAGGGCTCTGGTCGTGATTATTCGCCCAAGCCAGGCCCCAGGACCGTCCAAAAACGTCTCGGGATGGAATGCCGGCCCCGGTGAAGGGGTCCAGACCTCGGGGGCCCATGTTGCGAAGACAAAATGATGGGGGGGACGGGAGGTGAAGGGGAGTGAATGCCAGGGATCGATGGCTTCTCAGAAGACGGCGACAATCCTCGGAGGACCTTCGGCCTTCTGAGGGCCCTCCTGTGGTTTCGGAGAAGGCCCCAAAAAGCTTCCGAGAAGGCTGGAAGCCTACTCCTCCTCTTTCTCCTCCTCCTCCTCCTCCTCCTCCTCCTCTTCCTCCTCTTCCTCCACCTCCTCCTCCTCCTCCTCCACCTCCTCCTCCACCTCCTCCTCAAAAAGAGCCTCCTGAGAAGGCCCGCCCACTCTGCCTTCCCCCCTGGGCGCGCCGCCGAGTTCAGTTTCAGGTCATAGCTCAGGCCTCCGGCGGCCGCTCGGGACGATTCGGGCAACCCTGTGAAACTCTCGACGAGGCGCAGCTACTCGAAAGCACCTCGGGGCCATAGAACCTCCAGGAACCATAAAAACATCCGAAAACGTCGAACTTCTTCCCAAGGCGCGCCGCCGAGAGAAGGGTGGCAGGGGGAATCATGGAAGAGGAGAACTGGGGCAGGGGGAGCGGGGATCCCTAAGGGCATAACGACTTGTCGCTAATCGACATGCGCAAATCAAGCCCGATACATCGAGGTACATCCAAATAGACCGACGTACGTCCAGATACATCGATGCACATCCAAATATACCGCCGGCCCACTTGTGGGGCCACCAGGCTCCGCGGATTAGGCTTGCTGCTCCCTGCGCCAGTTTCAGTTTCCAGCTTCCAATGTTATAGTCCTGATTTCGACTTCCTACTGTGAATTGTTGAAGGCCGCGCGAGGGGGGGAGCCGAAAAGGACCCTGGTTACTACCACCAGGGGGCGTTCTCAAAGTTTGTGAGGGGTCCTGGGACAATGATACCGGAGAAAAACCCCAATCAGGGCTATAGGGCTAGGGGGCTATAGGGCTATAGGGCTATTGAGCTATAGGGCTATAGAGCTATGTAAGGCTATAGAGTTGTAAGCCTATAGGGCTATTGGGCTATAGGGCACCCCTGGGCACCCGGGCGCCCCCGGGCACGCCCGGGCACCCGGGCACACCCGGGCACCCGGGCACCCCCGGGCACCAGGGCACCGCTTCTTCCGGTCTTAGCCACCCTAAGACTAAGACTAAGCAACCCGGTCTTCCAGGTTCTGAACCTGGAAGACCGGGTTGCCAAGGTTTTTCCTGCTCCAGACGGCTCCAAGATGGCCCAAGCTGGCCTCCAAGATGCCTCCAAGATGGCCAAGATGGCCTCCAAGACGGCCCAAGGGGGTCCAAGATACTTCCAAGTCCGCCCAAGAAGCCTCCAAGACGGCACAAGACTGCCCAAGAGGTGCCCAAGAGGCCTCCAAGACTGCCCAAGAGGCCTCCGAGAGGTCCTGATTTTCCTTGGGTTTTTGAAGGAGTTTCGTATTTGTTCTTTTTCGGCCTTCCGACGGCCCAAGGCGGCCCAAGAGGCCCCCAAGATCGCCCCCAGAGCGCCCGAGATGCCTCCAAGATGGCCCCAGGACTGCCCAAGAGGCCCCCAAGACGGCCCCAAGAGGCCCCCAAGACGGCCCCAAGAGCGCCCAAAGACGGCCCAAGAGGATTCTAACATGCCCCTGGAAGCCTCCAAGACGGCCCTGGAGCACCCCAAGAGGACTTCAAGTCGGCCCAGAGAGGCCCCCAAGAAGACGGCTTCCGACGGCGTCAGACGGGCCAGGAGCCCACCAAGACGGCCCAAGATGGCTCTAAGATAGCCTAAGACGGCCCAAGAGGCCTTCCAGTCGACCTCCAGGAAGGCCCGAAGAGGCCAAAATCGTTGAGTTTCCTTCGTTTTGTTGAAGGGTTGTGGCATTTGCTTCTTTTCGGCCTACCGACGGCCCGAGACGGCCCAGGAGCCCCCAAAGATCGCCCCAAAATGGCCCAAGAGGCCCCCAAGATGGCCCCAGAACGGCCCAAGAGGCCCCCAGGACGGCCCCAAGAGGGCTCCAAGACGGCCCAAGAGGCCTCCAAGACAGCCCAGGAAGCATCCAACACGGCCCTGGAGCACCCCAAGAGGGCTTCGAGTCGGGGCCCAGAAAAAGGCCCTCAAAACGGCTTCCGACGGCGTCAGACGGGCCAGGAGCCCACTAAGACGGGCGAAGATTGCCCTACGATGGCCCAACACGGCCCAAGGGGCCTCCAAGAGGGTCTCCAGGAAGGCCCGAACAGGCCCAAATCAGTGATGTTCTCGAAGTGTTTGATAGAGTTTGGCATGTGCTTCTTTTCGGCCTACCGACGGCCCAAGAGCCCCCAAAGATCGCCCCATGATCGCCCAAGAAGCCTCCAGGATGGCCCCAGCCAAGAAGCCCCCAAGAGGGCTCCAAGACGGCCCAAGAGGCCTCCAAAACGCCCAAGATGGCCTCCAAGACAGGCCTGGAGCACCCGAAGAGGGCCCAGAGAGGCCCCCAAGACGGCTTCCGACGGCGTCAGACGGGCCAGTAGCCCACCAAGACGGCCAAAGAGGCCCCCGAGAAGCCCCCCAAAAGGCCCCCAGGAGGCCCAAGGAGGCCCCAAGATGCCTCCAAGAGGCTCCCAGGAAGCTCCTAGGAGGCCCCAAAAGTGTCCCCATAGGCTCCCAACATGCCCCTCCCCCGCCTCCTCCTGATCTTCCCCGCCATCCTCCCCCAAGTGTTCCCCGAAGGGTTTCTTCAACGGCTGGGGGAACACATGGTCCGATAGCTTGGCGGAGCTCTTGCCATAACGCTCGGCCACATGGGCGATTCTAGAAGGCAGGGGGCGGCGGTGACTCGCCGTAGACGTCTTCGATAACGCCAACGTCCCAATATGCGCTAATCATTACTATCCGCCCCCGCATGATGTTCCCAGATGCGCCAAGACAGCGCCGAGACGCACCGACGCGAGTCAGTTATATCCCATTATGATAGAAAGGGGGCCGGCGGCATGGGGCGAAGCCCTTGCGGATAAAAAAGTCCCCAAGACAGTACAAGAGGCCTCCGAGACGACCTACGAGTGATCCAAGGCGCCCAGGATGGTCCCAAGACGGCCCAAGAGGCTCCCAAGAGGCTCCCAAGAGCGCTCCAACAGCACCCCTAAGAGGGGCCCAAGAGGCCAACATCTGTGAGGTTCCTTAGGTTTTTGATGGATTTTGGCACGCTCGCCTTTTCAGGCTTCCAACGCTCCAAGACGGCCGAAGAGGCTCCCCAAGACCGCCCCAAGACGGACCAAGAGGCTCTCAAGAGCGCCCCGAGACAGGTCAAGAGGGCCCCAAGACGGCTCGAGAGACCCCCAAGACGGCCCAAGAGGACCCCAAGACGGCCCCAAGAGTGACCCGAGACCGGGGGCCCGAGCCCAAATGGCCCCCGTTCGGAGTTCCGACGCCGCTTCCAGGTCAATCTGATGACATCGTGGAAGCTCTGGGGCGAGTCGAGCGACAGCAGTCGTTAAGCCCCTAACGCGGAGAGAGGCGGAGGCAGGCAATGCGTTCGGCGGCCGTTGGCGAAAATCGTGGCGCTGCTCGGGCCGCTGCTGCAGGCGCTCTCCACGTACTTCCTGATCTCCTTGTACTGGTTCTTGTTAAAGAAGGTATAGGTGGTCCCGCTGTCGATCATTGTGCTCCTAATTACCCCTTCCTGCCCCAAGTTCCTCTCTCCTTCTCTTTCTATGTTTTTCTCTCTCTCTCTCCCTCTATTCCTCTCACCCTCTCTCTCTTTCTCTCTCTCTCTCTCTCTCTCCCTTGCCCTTAATTCGCGAGCGCTGGTGGGCCCCAAGTCGATCTTCACAAAAGTGGACTCGTGCCGCTCGGGCAACGGACCAGGGTGTCCCAAGGGGTGCCGCGGCGTCGCGATGGTGCCCCGGCGGTGTCGAAAAGGTGCCCCGATGGTCTTGTGATGCTATTCCGATGGTGTCCTGGCTATGCCCGAAATGCTGCAGCCCTCTGAGCATAATTCTGCGATTTGGCATACCAACTCTTCCAATCCAACCCGTAACTTCGGGGAAGGGCCATCCTTACGATTGAGTTGTTGTACGTAGCGTGTCCAACATGGCCATGCTAAGCGCGTTTGCGCTTAGCGCGTCCGTGCGCTTAGCGTGTCCGAAGCACCCGCTTAGCGTGTAAGAACGTGGCCCTGGTCGTAAATCCTTGGCCACCTGGCACGTATGTGCTTAGCGTGTGCAGAAACACACACAAACGCACACACAGCGCACACACACAAACACCCACACACACACGCGCACACACGCACACACATACTCACATACAGGCACAGCCAACACACACCCACACAAACACACACACACACACGCAAACACGCACACACGCACACACACACACACACGCACACAGAAACACACCCACACACACACACGCACACACAGCGCACACACAAACACACACACACACCCGCGCACACAAACACACATACTCACATGCAGGCACAGACAAACACACCCACACAAACACGCACACACACACACGCAAACACGCAAACACGCACACACACACACGCACGCACACAGAAACACACACACACACACGCACACAGAGCGCACACAAACACACGCACACACACACACACGCGCACACAAGCACACACATACTCACATACAGGCACAAACAAACACACCCACACAAACACACACACACACACGCAAACACGCAAACACGCACACGCGCACACACACACACACACACACACCCACACGCAAACACGCACACGCGCACACACACACACACGCACCCACACAGAAACACACACACACGCACACACAGCGCACACACAAACACACACACACACACACACGCGCGCGCACACACATACATACAGGCACAGGCAAACACACCCACACAAACACACACACACACACACGCAAACACGCACACGCACACACGCAAACACGCACACACGCACACACACATGCACACAGAACACACACACACACACGCTCACAGAAACACACACGCACACACACAGCGCACACACACAAACACACACACACAAATACACGCACACACGTACTCACATACAGGCACAGGCAAACATACCCACACAAACACACAAACACACGCAAACACGCACACACGCACACATAGCGCACACAAACACACACAAACACACACACACACGCACACACAGCGCACACACAAACACACACACGCGCGCACACACGCACACATACCCACATACAGGCACAGACAAACACACCCACACAAACACACACACACACACACTCACGCAAACACGCAATGACAAACGCACAGACACACACACGCACGCACACAGAAACACACAAACGCACACGCACACACACAGCGCACACACAAACACACGCACACACACACACACGCGCACACACACGCACACACACACATACTCACATACAGGCACAGACAAACACAAGCACACACACACACACGCAAACACGCACACACGCACACAGAAACACACCCACGCACACACACACGCACACAGAAACACACACACACACACACACACGCACACACAGCGAACACACACACAAACACACACATACTCACATACAGGCACAGATAATCACACCCACACAAACACACACACACGCAAACGCGCACACACGCACACACACACAAACACACACAGAAACACACACACGCACACACACAGCGCACACACGCAACCACACACACACGCGCGCACACACGCACACACATACTCACATACAGGCACAGGCAAACACACCCACACACACATAGACGCAAACACGCACACACGCACACACACACGCACGCACACAGAAACACACACACACGCACACACACACAGCGCAACCACACACAAACACACACACACACGCGCACACACGCACACACATACTCACATACATGCACAGACAAACACACCCACACAAAAACACACACGCACACACGCAAACACGCACACACACAGAGCACACACGCAACCAGACACACGCACACACACACGCACGCACACAGAAACACACACACACACACGCACACAGCGCACAGACACAAACACACACAAACACACACGCACGCACATATTCACATACAGGCACAGACAAACACACACACACACAAACACACATACATAGACGCAAACACGCACACACGCACACACACACACACTCACGCACGCACGCAGAAACACACACACACACACGCACACACAGCGAACACACACAAACACACACACACGCGCACACACGCACACACATACTCACATACAGGCACAGACAAACACACCCACACAAACACACACACGCACACATAGACGCAAACACGCACACGCACACACGCAAACACGCACACACGCACACACACACGCACACAGAAACGCACACACACACACACACGCACGCACAAAGAAGCACACACACACACGCACACACAGCGCACACAAACACACACACACAAACACACGCACACTCATACTCACATACAGGCACAGACACACACACACACAAACACACACAAACACGCACACACGCACACACGCACACACACACACACACGCACACACACAGAAACACACACACGCACACACAGCGCACACACAAACACACACACACACACACTCAGTGCACACACGCGCACAATCACACACACACACGGTACACACACAGACAGCGGACGAGGCCCCCACGAGGCGCCCACGGGCGAGCACCAGGTGAAACCTTCGCACACAGTCATACACACAGCACACACACACACACGCACACACACGCACACACAGAGCGCGCACACACAACGAACGCACACACACCCACACACACACACCGCACACACACGCGCACACACACACAGCGCACACACACAGCGCGCGCATACACACAGCACTCACACACAAACACACAGCGCGCACACAGAAACACACACACACACACCCTCACACACACACACACAACGCGCACCCACACAGCGCACACACACAGCGCACACACACACACACAACGCGCACACACACAAACACAGCGCACACACACAGCGCACACACAAAGCACACACGCAGCGCACACACAGAGCACACACGCAGCGCACACACAGCACACAGCGCACACAGCGCATTCACACAAACACACACACACACACACACACATACGCACGCACACGCAGTACACAGCACACAGCACACACACATACACACATACAACGCACAAGGCCCCCCCAGGCGCCCACGGCAGCTCCACGGTGGGCAGAGGGGGGATACCAGCGCCGATCCAGCAAATTCGCGCGGTCCTTCGAAAATCCTCTGTTCATGCTGTTCTGGGATTCTGTACATATCCACCGCCCCTGGCCAGGCCCACCCTGGGCAGAAGAGCCGCGCAAATGCCCTTCTGGCTTGGCCAGGGGCGCATATACGCCGACCCAGGGCCCAGGATGGGCTTCGCGAGGGGCGGCAAGTATGCAGAGAGCTCACCGCCGCGGTGGATGAAAAGGATGCCACCCCGTGTCCTGAAGCCGGTGATCACGGCGCCATTGATCGTGACCATCTTCAGGTTCACCTCCACTCCGCGCCATGCTCGTTCCCCCCCCCAGCCTTCCTCCCGCCGACATGAGGAACAACGGTGTCCGAATCTCGGGAGGGAAGCAGCAGCGGCAGCAGCAGCAGCAAGGGCCCGGGGGGGAAGCATCAGGAAAGGGCAAAGAACGAGGCGGAGGGCAAAAGAGACGCGCTTAGTCTTGAATGCCTCTCCGCCTCCGCTTCCCTGCTCCAAGTCGACCCCCCCCTCCCTTGGTCATCGTTGTCGTCCGTCGTCTTCCTCCTCTTCCTCCTCCTCCTCCTTCTTCTTCTTCTTCGTCTCCTCCTCCTCCTCCTCCTTCTCCTCGTCCTCCTCGTCCTCGTCCTCCTCCTCCTCGTCCTCGTCCTCGTTCCCGCCCCCCGCTGGGAAAGGAGAGGGCTCAGGCGGGCCGGCAGGCAGCAGCAGGCGGAGAGGCGGTCAGCGTGTCCCCCCGCCGGGCACTGGACAGCTCAGGTGGGCACGCCCTGGAAGGGGGGCGGAGGAGGAGGAGGCCGACGAGGAGGGCGCGGGCCACGTGGCCGCGTCGCTGGGCCCGCCAACCGCGCTTTGCAACGGAAGCCAGCGCCGCCTCTACGTTTCCCGCGGAGTTTAGATTTGATCGCTTAGTGTTGCAACTCGTAAACTAACGGAGCGATGGGGCGATAGCTGCAGGCAGGGGCGGCTGGCCGAGCAGGAGGGAAAGAGGGAAGGGGAGCCGGGGGGCGGCGGGGGGTGGTCGTTGCGTCGTCGTGGTGATGGTCGCGGTAGTGGTAATGGCTGTCGTGGTGGCGGCCGTGTCCTGTCGTAGTTCGAAATTGTCCTGACGGCTGTCGCGCTGGTGGTGGTCATGATGGTGGTCGCGGTGGCGGTCGTAATGAAGGTCGCGGTAGTGGGCGCGTCGTCAAGGTGGTCGTGAGGGTGGTCGTGTCCTGTCGTAGGTGGTCGCGGTGGTCGTCGTGCTGGTGGTCGTTGTAGGCATGGTTGCTGGCACCACTGTTGGCATCAGGGCCCGAGCGCGCTCATGAGCATCTGAGCTCTGGCCCGTCGGAGGGTTCTGCTGATTTGCCGCCAGAGGCCGCCCAGCAGCTCGGAGCGTTCGCCGTCGTCCATCCAGGTCCGCTCCGTGGCTGCGAACGAAGCTGGCTGCTTCGTCGCTGGGCCGGCCCCCCGTTTCGAAGACGAGCGGGACCAGCTCGCCCCCGTGGGCGGCTACCGCAGAGACTGCCACAATGCTTCCACAAAGTGTTTGGCACGCGTTCCGGTCGGCACCCGTGCACTGGGTGCATTGAGAGAGAAGACGAGGAGGAGAAGGACAAGGAGGAGGAGGAGGAGGAGTAGCAGGAGGAGGAGGAGGATTGTTGTGATGGTGATGGTGAAGGTGACCATGACCATGACGATGGCGATGAGGATGACGGGGACGAGGATGATAATGATGACGATGATCATGACCCTAGCTAGAACTTGAGCGCGCGCGATAGTTCTAGTATGTGTATATATATATATAGATTAGAACCACGCGCGCGCTACGCGCGCGCTTAGGTTCTAGCTTCGTCCGGGGCAACGGCCAAACAACGGACGAGGAGGTTGAAGGCTGAATGCACTTCGGTTATTCGTCGAGTTTCGCGGTCGTGGTTCGAAAAAGCTTTTGGGCGCTCCTCACCCCCAGGCGGCCCGAGGCGGCCGAAGACGACACCTCTTCCTCGTCCTCCTCTTTCCCCCTGCTCTTGCTCCTCTCCTCCTACTCTTCCTCCTCCCCCCGTCGCCCCCTCCTTTTCCCCCTTCCTCTTCCTCCGCCCCCTTCCTCCCCTCCTCCTCCTTTTCCTCCTCCTAATCCTCCTCTTCCTCCTCCTCCGCCTCCTCCTCGTTCTCCACCTACTTTCCCTCCTCCTCCTCCTCCTCCTCCTCTTCCTGCTCCTCCTCTCCAAACCCTCCTCCTCCTCCTCCTCCTCCTCCTCCTCCTCCTCCTCCTCCTCATCATCATCATCATCATCGTCACCATCACCATCATCATCTTCATCATGTTCCTCCTCCTCCACATCCTCCTCCTCTCACTCCTCCTCCTGCCCTCCTCCGCCTCTTCCTCCTCCTCCTCCTGCGCCTCTCCTCCTCCTCGTCCCCTCCTCTCCCCTTCCGCCTCCCTCCTCCTCCTCCTCCTCCTCCTCCTCCTCCTCCTCCTCCTCTCACTCCTCTTTCCTCCTCCTCCCGTTCAGACTACATGGCTCGCCAAACGGCACTGCGACGCCGCACAAGCATTGAGCCACATCGGTATAAAGGGAACACTCGGGGGAGGCCCCCCTCTTCCTCTTCCTCCCCCTTTTCTCCTCTTCCGCCGCTCCTCCTCCCCTCCTCCTGCTCCTCCTCCTCCGCCCCCATTCTCCTCCTCTCCTCCTCCTCCTCCGCCTCCTCCTCCTCGTCCTTCTCCTCCTCCTCTCCCCTCCTCCTCCTCCTCCTCTCCCCCCCTCCCGCTCCTCCTCCTCCTCTCCTCCTCCTCCTCCTCTTCCTCCTCATCCTCCTCCTCCTTCTCTCCCCCTCACCACATCATACATCATCATCATCAATCATCATCATCATCATCAGCATCATCAATCATCAGCATCATCGTCATCATTATCGTCATCATCTCGTCATCATCCCTCTTCCCTCCTCCTTCCCCCCGCCCCCCTTCTCTCTCCCCCCCCCCCTCCTCCCCCCCTCGTTCTCCTCGTCCTCCTCTTCCTCCTCCTCGTCCATCTCCTCTTCCTTCTTTCCTATTCCTCCTCCTCCTCCTCCACCTCTTCCGCGTGCAAGAAATCCAACAACATGTCGCGGAAATCAACGAACTGTGCCCCTCCGGGTTTTTTCGGGCGTCCTTCTAGGACTTGTCGGGGCCGTCTTAGGGCCCCCTTGGGCGCCCTGGGAACCCGGAAATCATGTTCTGATAGAGGCTTCGGGGAACATGATTTCGGACGCTGCGGAAGAGGCCCCCAAAGAATCTCTATAGGCAGCTCTGCTTGCCCCCGTTGTGGCTCTGTTGGGTGCCTTTTGGGGCTCTCTTGGGCTGGCTTGTAGCTCTCATGGGTCATCTTGGGTCCCTCTTGGGCCGTCTTGGGGCTCCTCGGGGTGGCACTGCGAAGACGTCGTCGTCGTCGCCGTTCGCCGATTGGCGGCGTCAACTGTTGTCATCGTCGTCCATCGTCGTCGTCGTCGTCGTCGCCGGTCGTCGCCGTCGACGAACGTCGTCGTCATCGTCGCCGTCGCCGATCACCGTCGCCGATCGTCGATCGGCCCCGAGCCCTCTCGCCCCCTCCTCCTCCTCTCCTCCTCCTCCTCCTCTTCCTCCTCCTCCTCCTCCTCCTAATCTGCCTCCTCTTCCTCTTCCTCCTCCTCCTCCTCCTCCTGAAATCATGTTCCCGGAGACGCTTCCGGGGACAGGATTTCGAACGATGCAGAAAAGACTGGGTCCAGGGTGGCTCTGCGCACGCGGACAGCGTCGCCGCCGTCGGCGCGGCCGTCGTCGTCGTCGTCGCCGTCGTTCGTCGATCGGCGACGTCGACTGTTGTCATCGTCTTCTATCGTCGTCGTCGTCGGTCGTCGACCGTCGTCGTCGTCGTCGTCGTCGTCGTCGTCAATAACCGTCGCCGGTCGTCGTCTCCGATCGTCGATCGCCCTCGAGCCTCCTCCTCTCTCCCCCCCTCCGCCCCTCCACTCCTCCTCCCCGCCTCCTCCTCCTTCTCCTCTTCCTTCTCCTCCTCCTCCTCCTCCTCCTCCTCCTCCTCCTCCTCCTCCTCCTCCTTCGCCCTCTCCGTCTCCTCCGCGCGGAAGAAATCCAACAACATCTTGCGCAAATCAGCGAACTATGGCCCTCCGGGCCTTTTCGAACGTCCATTTAGGGCCTCTTTGGGGGGGCCGTCTTAGGGCCCTCTTGGGCGTCGCGGGAACCAGGAAATCATGTTCCCGGAGAGGCTTCTGGGAACATGATTTCGAAAGAGGCCCTCTTGGGCCTCCCTGAGGCCGTGTTGGGAGCCTCCTGGGCCAACTTTGGGGCCTCTTGGGCCGTCTTGGGGGTTCCGTGAGCCTCACAGGACGACCCTTTTGGGCCGTCTTGGGCCCTCTTGGGTCTCTCTTGGGCTGTCTTGGGGCTCGGGGGCGTCTGGGGCACTGTGAGGACCAAGCAAGCAAATATGCTGAAAACGTACGTTGTACAACGGGAGTGGGCCGATTTTTGCCTCTTGAAGGCCCTCTTCGGCCAGCTTCAAACCATCTCGGGCCCTCTTGAGGCGCTCTTGGACGTCTTGGGGCCCCCTTGGGCCTCGCTGAGGCTGTCGGACAGCGTCGCCGCCGTCGGCGTGGCCGTCGTCGTCGTCGCCGTCGATCATCGATCGGCGGCGTCGACTGATGTCATCGTCGTCGATCGTCATCGGTTGTCGTCGTGGTCGTCGTCGTCGTGAATCACAATCGCCGGTCGTCGTCTCCGATCGTCGATCGCCCTCGAGCCTCCTCCTCCTCTCTCCCCTCCTCCTCCCCTGCACTCCTCCTCCCCGTCTCGTCCTTCTCCTCTTCCTCTTCCTCCTCCCCCTCCTCCTCCTCCTCCTCCTCCTCCTCCTCCTTCGCCCTCTCCGTCTCCTCCGCGCGGAATAAAATCCAACAGAATTTCACGAAAATCAGCGAACTGTGGCCCTCTGGGAATTTTTGAATGCCATTTTAGGGCCCTTTTGGGGCCGTCCTGGGGCCCTCTTGGGCGTCCTGGGAAAACGGAAATCATGTTCCCGGAGAAGCTTCTGGGAACATGATTTCGAACGAGGCCCTCTTGGGCCTCCCTAAGGCCGTCTTGGGGGCCTCCTAGGCCGGCTTTGGGGCCTTTTGGGCCGTCTTGGGCCGTCTTGGGGCTCCTCCGGGGCCACTCTGAGGACGAAGCAAGCGAGTATGCTGAAATTGTAAGTTTTACAAAAAGAATGGGTAAAGTTCTGCCTCTTGAAGGCCCTCTTGGGGCCCTCTTCGGCCATCTTCAAGCCATCTCGGGCCCT